ATAGAGATAGTTACCTAATATAATAATAACGTTAGTAGTTTTTATAAAGTAGTAGAACTATTACTTATAAGCTATATATAAAAGAAACTCTCTTCTAAGTAGCTATTTCTTAAGGTAATCTATAAAAGTAACTTAGAAAACTATCTAGTAGAGTTACTAATAAAGCTAGTAGAGAATAGGTTATAGTTTTTTTAAATAGTAGAAGTACGTAATTTAGATAATTATAAGAGCGTAGATAGTATAGATATAGCTAGTAATAGTAATAAAAGTAAAGAGTAGAGTATAGATAGAGACTAAAGAAAGTAACTACGTAATAAAAAGTACTTTATAATATAATATTATACGTAATATACGCTACGTAGAGTAGACTTAAAAACGTAATATATATAAAGAATAAGAAGTAATAGGCTATAATATAAGTACTATTATTAGAACTAGTATAGTGTAGTTAATAAGGCGCTATATAAGCTAGCGCTATAGAATAGACTATAGAAGTTATAGGCTAAAGAATATAGATAGATAACGCTAATAAAACTAGCGTTACTAGTAATAATACATTATAGTATATAGAACTATAAAAGTAAAATAAACCTAACTTAGACTCTAAGCTTTTATTTAAGTAGATAGATTAGACTATCTAAGCCTAGAGTTATCTAAGATAAGAGATAATAGATATAAAATAGCTACTTTATATATCTCTAGAATAGAATAGACTATATATAACGTTATACACCTAGCTTCTTAAGTAGAAGAGAAATTTACTATATTATATAAAAGAAAACCTATATATAATAAGCCTTTTACTAGTACTTTTTTAAGTAGACTATTAGATTATTAGTTACTATTACGTTCTTTATTACGTAGTATAGCTATATCTTAGACGCCTTTTACTTAGATATAGTAGCCTTCTAATATAGCTTTTTAATATAGCCTTTTAGTATAGCTTTTTAGTATATTCTACCTATCTTTTACTAGAACGTAAAAGCCTTTTACTAGAGCCTTACACTATATAGTATTGTTTAGAGCCTTTTTATAGCTTATTATAATATTATTATATAGCCTAACGCTATAATTTAGAAGCCTTTTACTAGTAGAGTAGAGCCTTTTACTATACGCTATACTATTTTAGATCTAGTATAAAATAAACGCTTTAACTAGTTTTTACAGCCTTTAGATATAGAAGTTAAGATTCTAATATAGTTAGAAGTAGATAATAGCTTTTATTCTTACTAAGTACTTAGCTTATATTTTATAATTTTTAGCTTCTTAGTTATCTACTATTTTATTAATATTCTCTTAGGTTAACTTAGTATATTTACTATCTACTTTTCTTCTAAAAGTAATAATAAAATAGTATATAGTACTAATATTAATTTATATATCTATATATTTCTTTATATATATAGTAATAACTATATAAAGGCGCTAGAAAGTAATAAGCTACTTACTTTTAATATTAGACTAAAGTAGACTACTTATAGTCTATTATAAGTAAAGATTCTAAATATTATCTAAAGTAAAAAAGAAAATAAGTATATAGAAGAAATAAATAAGCTAAAAGTACTATATAAGTAAATAACTAACTATCTTAGATAAAAATTAATAGATAATCTTAATAGACTTATTATAGTTATACCTTTTATAATATTAGAGAATAATAGTAATAAGACTATTATAGAGAAATATATTATAAAGTATACTATTAGATAGATTTTTATAGTAAATACTAAGAAGTTTAGTATCTTATACTAGTAATCTACTAGTAAAATAAACTAAGCTAAGAAGTAGGTTAAAAAGACATTAGATAAGATTATAGTACTACTTAATTTAATAAAAGTTAATAAAATTTATAATAAGTACTTTCTAGCTCTATTATATAGTAGCTAAGTACTAGTTTTTAATAAAGTTAGCTTTTACTTTAAGTAGTATAAACTTATAAAAAAAAAAGCTATAGTCTACTATTTTATTTCTAAAATTCTCTATAAGCTACTTCTAGAGTATAGATAGTAGTTAGTTTAATATTAGTATAGAAGCTAATTAGTATAAAAAAGTAAACGCTTTAACCTCTACGTTATAAACTATATTACTAAAGAAATTAAGTATAGTATAGAACTTTTTTAGTATAATCTTTTTACTATTCTAACTAATAAAAATATCTAAGTTATTACTATAATAGAAGTTACTTAGAATATATATAGTATAGATAAGCGTATCTATTAAAGTATTAAACTTTATTATAAAGTAATTCTATATTTACTACTAGAATAATATAGCTAAGACGTAATTTATTTCTTTTATATTAGTATAAAGTACTTTAAGAAAAATAAGCTTATTAATAAACTTAAGCGCTTCTTTCTTTATTATAGTATTATTAAGTACTTTTTTCTTTATTATAGTATTATTAAGTAAGATTTATATTATATTTAAAGTAGACTAAGTAAAATATTTATAAAAATATTAAATACTTATAAGTTAGACTATTTTCTTAAGAGCTATAATATCTATAGTAAAGTTATAGACTTTATATAAGATATACTTCTCTTTAGAAAGAATAAAAAAGCTAGTTATAATAATAAAAGAGAACTTAAATTTATTACTAATATATATTTATATAATAAGAAATAGCTAGAAGTAATAATAAAAGTTTTTTATAAAGTTTAGCGTAGTACGCGTATAGTTTATATATACTATAGAGTAGATACTATAGTAGTTATATAATATAGTAATAATACTATTCTAAGTTTTTTACTAATTAGAGCGTATAGTAAGTTATAAAAGATAAGGCTAGCTATTAATAAGAGTATAGAAAAAGAATATAAAGATCTTTTATAGTAGTAATATATATAATATAAAAAAATTCTAGTAGACTTAAAGTAGATAGAGTAGAATATAATAGATATTTTTTTATATTATCTAGATATATATATACTATAAGACGCGTAAAGTAGTATTCTACTAACTCTAACTCTAACGCTATAGACTATATAGAATATTATTTTACTATCTAGTAAATTATAACTATCTAACTAAGTAGAATAATAGTATATATACTAAGGTACTAGAGCTAATATTTAGAAATAATAAAATAAAAGTCTAGTTATAGAGTATATAAGTACTTTTTAGTCTATCTATAACTTAAGATACTTAAAAAGCTTTACTAACTAAAGTAACACTATCTAGAATTATAGCTATAATTATACTAGAATTATACTAGAATCTTACTTTATAAATTTAAATAGTCTAACTACTAGTAAGATTATTAGTTATATTATTTATATTAAGCTCTCTAGTTAAGTATATTATATTATATTATCTCTTTTTAGAATATTAACTAATTTTATTAACTACGTTAGCTATAAGTGTCTACGCGCTTAATCTATTACTATATCTATTAAGACTAAGATTAAGAGTTAGACTATAAAGAAAGTAAAGATATAACTAGATATATAAGTAGTAGTATAGATAGTATAGATTAATATAATATTATAAAGTTTTATTAGACTTTAGTTTCTTTAAATAAGTATACTACGTTAAGAACTATACTTAGTAGTAACTTTACTATATATAAAATTATTTTCTAGCTTATATAATTTTATTTTTTTAATTACTTTTTAAATCTAACTCTAATTAGTAAAGTTATAATATATTAAAGATATATTATTATAAAAGTAGAATATTACGTAAATCTATATACTATATATACTAGTAGTACTTTTTAGCTAAGTAATCTTTGTATTAATAATTATATATACTATAATAGATAAATATTAGTATTTCTTATAACTTTTATAATAATATTTTAATATTATACTTTTAGCTACTATCTACTAAGAGCTATTAATAATATATAGCTTACTAAATATATTCTAATAATCTTACTATTTATATAAAGTAACTACTAGAATATATATTCTTAACTTTAGATTAACTACTTAATTTATAGTTTTATTTCTTTAGCTCTAGCTTTCTTTTTAGTCTACTTATATTCTTATAGATATATATTAGCTATTTTATAATAATATACGTACTACTACACTAAGATATACTTTAGACTATTATTTTATAACTTAATATTATAACACTAGCTTATAAATAGATAAGATATAAAAAAATATATAGAATATATTACTATAAACTTATTAGATATATATTATAACTTTACTTATAAAGTTTCTAAAGATTATACTTTATTAGTATTCTTTACTTTATTACGCTCTCTAAAGTCTAATTCTCTTACTACTACTTTAGCTAATTTTCTTCTTTCTTTATAATTTTTCTTTTTTATTTTATCTAATTCTATCTTATTTAATTACTAATTACAAAACTTTTTTTAAAATTTTCTATAGAAAGTAAAGTGCTAGTCTACTTTCTTCTTAGTCTTACGCTAATAGTATTCTTTCTTATTCTTAGTATTATAGAATTCTAGATTACTATTCTTTTTAGAAAAGTAGTAGATAGTTTTAGATAGCTATATATTAATAGAGTACTAGTAATAGCTTTTATCTCTAGCTTTAGTATATTTATAAGTACTATACCTATCTAAGTAACTAAGAAATAAAAAGAATATACAAAAGATATAAAGTCTAAGAGCTAGTATACTACTAATAAAGATAAGATAAATATTTATAATAGAGTTTATCTAAAACATTATATATAGATATATAGAAGAATTATTAATTTTAGAGTAAGAGAAAGAAAAATTATAAGAAAGTAGGTAGTTTTCTAGTTCTATCTAGATAACTAGAGTCTCTAACGTAAGCTGCGCTATACTTAGTTATACTAGATAGCTTAGCTGTTTAGACGAATTGTTTATTAATTCCCGCACGGTAAGCAACGCTACCTTAGCCTAACTAATATAGGTTAGTAGATTATCTAAGATAATCTACTATAGATTACAAGTTGTAAATATATATAGGCTGTTGCGGAAGTGCGTATACACTATCTACTGTTTCTCGAGATATGTGCGCAGCAAGGCGAGCGACGCGATGCGACGCGACAGCTCACACCTTCTTCACTATCCAAACCTGCGCCAGGTATGCGTAGCGCGTCAACGCTCTCCGGTTGAACCCGTACTCTGCCTCTTTACTCCGAACCTTCTTGCCCTCGAACGTCAGGTCGCCGCACTCGTCGCCCAGATCCTCGAACTCAAAGCCCATCTCTTCAACAACGTCGACAATCTCCTCCAAGCTCAGCTGCACGAAAGGCCCGGTGCCGTACAGGAGTGGGCCGAAGTTGATCCATTTACCACCGGGCTTCAGTAGCCTCTGGATAGTGTCGAAATAGGCCATGAGGTTGCGCGCCGTGTCGATGAAGAAATGGGTGACGATGATGTCGTAGTGACCTGGTTGATCGTTGAATGCGGTGTTGAAGTCGCCCTCGACGAGCAGAACACCAGGGTTGGGGGCGATGTTGGGCACCGTTACACTCCGGGTCATGTCGGCCTTCGTAGCATGGTGCGACATTCCGTCGATGAATGGGTGTATGGTCACCGCATGCGCATCCTTTTGCGCTTCCATGTACCGGTATCCCACGTTCATGAACATTGACCACTCATTGATCGTGACCTCGAAGCCTGTCACTGCGTCAGTCGCCGCTCTTCTGCTCTTGCGCGCCACACTTACCTCCGAGATTGGCGACATCGTGGCCTAGCCGGCCGACGCCGGAGCCCGGAAGCAGTACCTTGAGCAGTGCGCTCTCGGCTGACTCTGCTTTAATGGCGCTCAAGGTGCTCAGTATGCATGGGAAGGCTTCGTTTCTCTCTTTCAGACCTTCGTCCGCCCAGTCGCGTACGTAATGCTTCAGCGTTTGAGCTGTCGCAAACTTGTCTGCTTGGCGCTTGTCTTGCTCTGCTTGCTTCATGTGCTCGTCCAGTTCTTCCTGGCCGATGCCGTAGAACTTCATGGCGTGAAAGGCTATACTCTTGGAGACCGCTGCATTCACGTAGATCAGCTCTTCGAGTTCATCGAGCTTCTTCGTGTAGGCGATGGTGTTCTCCAATGTCTGCTTTATTGTGAGCGACCGGTATCACAACGCGCACGTGCGACCGACCTTCTTCTGCTTCTTGCTGACGCTCTTGTACATACTCCGCCAGCGATCCAGCTCAGCCATGTGGCGTTCGCGGTACCTCGTATATGCCCACAGCGCTTCGAGTAGCCGGTAACGCGGATGGCTCGTTCCCCATTTACCGCTCTTCTTGTCCATTCTCTTCAGCAGCTGTAGCTTCTCCCGTCGGTGGCGGGGCGAGGCGCCGTTGTCGCTTGGTGGCATCGCACCCATCATCAAGGGATCTTGCGCGGCTTGCGCATTGTCCATAGCGATGCGGACTTCGTCGGCGTTCGGTGTGTTGCTAGTGGCATGGGCTTGGCTTTCTCCGCTAGGTGTTCCAGCATTAGCCAGAGCTACTGAGCTGAGGCCTGCGATGAACAGCAGCAAGGATGACTTCATTTTCCATGCGACCAGGGCACGCGATTGTTCCGGATTGATGGCCAGACGCGGAGTATCGCAATTCGAGTTTTGCGGCTGAGTACCGTGCTGGCGCCAAGCAGGCCTCGATGTCAAGCGTTAGATACCGCATATTGTGGGGTGTAGTTCGCGAAAGCAACAATCCCAAGAAGAGCGTTTTATACCGTCGCGATGCCATGCCCATGACGGAGCGTAGCAAGACGACGACATGGGCTGTCTTCCATGCTCATGCTCGACGGTATGCCTCTCGTAAGAGCTTACAGGCGTGGCGTCGATGAACATGTCGGGGAGCGGCCTCGAACGTAGACTCATTGTCGGTATCAATTGCTGGTGAATGCGATGCCATAGTTGTACGGTTCAAGGGCGCGCCTGCATGCACCGGCGCGGAAGACGCGTAGAAGGTGCACGAGCCATCGCCGGAGCCACCCCTCGAGCTCTCCTTGGCGGGTGACTCAATAACTTTGACACTCTGAAAGAGCAAGCAGCCTTCAGCCATCCTCAAACCAGAGTATTACGACGGTGGATTCATCTGACTTCGTTCACAGCAGGTCGCCTCTTTGAACATTGCTCGACAGCTGCCTACGGTCTCGATCGACAGGAGACTCCTGGAGATAACGTCATCGTACGGAATGCGCATTCCACGACGATCACGCGTCCGCCGCTCGGTCGATACCATACAAGATGTCGACAGTCCACTCTTACTTCTTCGGCCATCAAGCTTCCTCTGTTTCCTTAGTACCTGGACCTCCTTCTTAGAGACGAAGGCGAGGCATGTCGTTGAAGGTTAGAAGATCGACTGCAACCGCCTGTCAGCGCAATGGTCATCACATAACCCAGCGGTTTCCTGTTGGAATACACGCAGCACCAGGCTATCTAGCATACTGAACTGCTAGCTTGCTGTCAGTCCCTCGCTCCAAACCGAATGTTTGCAAAAGCGCCTCATCATTGGTCGCCCTAGTAGTTGTGTCATTCCTCAATTGAGCCAGTAGAAAGGTAAGAGACTCAGATGCGTTTGATCGTGCAGGTCCGAGCCTTGCGCATCAATTCATGGACATAGCCGCATGCTGTCACAACCGAAATTTGGCATCGTTCGCTTGAATGAAGGGAAGCAATCAGATGGTTGCGCATCATCAAACACCACGACGAGATTGTTTGCGCAGTTCCGTGAAGAGGAAAAGACTCATAACAGCACCGAACGTCATACCAGATCCTCGAATGTTAGATTACTGAGTGAAGTGTCGACGCGTTTGGATCCGTGCGGACTCACCTTCACTGCGACTCTCGCTTAGCAAAGCGCGACAACGGCCATAACACTCTGCAACCCGTTCCCCTCCACTCACTCTACTTCCCCCAGATGTCATCCGCACCACCAAAGGAAGCGCCTGTCAACGCTAAAGACATCGACATGGCTCGTCTCAGCGCTAACGCGACACCGAAAACCGATCGCAAGCCGAGCCGCTTCCGCGGACTATTCAGACAGCAGTCCAGCTCGAGCGCATCGTCCAGCCCCGCTACCCTGCAGAAGTCGCCTCCGCCCGTCGCTTCTAGCCCGTTGGCGTCGCCATATGTGCGCCCAGGATACGAACAGATCGGTCTCCTACCCAGCGAGCAGTCTATGCACAGTCTACAGGGATTTGGTGGGACCGAAGTTGGCGATGGTGAGACGATCGGCTCTACAGCAGTTGAAGGTGCCTCTCCAAAACGCCATGCTGAGGAAGCAGGTCGTGATTCCGTGGAATCTGAGGTCGCCAAAAGCCAGGATACCTCTCCACGTACAGCTGGTGATGCAGACAAGCGACGCGGGTTGCCATTGGATTCTTCCCATAAGATCGCGGAGGCCATGGACAGTAAGTGTCTACCCAGGGCGCTTCGATAATACATGCTAACACTGGAAACAGACGCGAACAGCAGTCATGTCAAAGATGCATGGTTCGCGGACTCTGCAGGGCGGCAGATATCGCCTGGTACGTCAAGTTACTCACGATGTCAACGCACTCATTAACAAGCTTGCAGACAGCCCCAGATATCCCCAGCACGGCGGCCCCGTCGAAGACCCCAGTATGGTGCAGTACAAGAGCACCAGCATTAAGCGCACAAACGACTTCCTCAAGACTGCTCGTATATCGCCACAAACCGCACGTTTCATCGAGACCGCCGACGAACACGGTTACTGTTACTCCAAGCTCTTGGATGAAGCCGAACCCAGCCCCCGCAAGTCTTTCGCGTCAAACATCTTCGACGACGACAGTTCGCTGAGTCAGGGCATCCGCGAGTATGTCACTAGCAAGATCGCCGAAGCGCTGGCCGAGCACAACCGGGAGCGTCAAGGCGACGCCGATGCTACGGTCAACAACATAGGCCCGCTGAACCTCATCATCAAGATCGACGCGGCCGGCCTCGCCAAAGCGAACATCTCCAAGCGGTTGGTCGGGGACGATGGAAAGATCGGCGACTTCCCGGAGCGCCTCACTATCGGTCCGTTCGAGATCTCGAATGCGCAGCTTGAACGAGACATTCAATTTGGTGTCATGGCCATGTACGCGATTGCCTTCCTCAGCGCATCTCTTCTAGGACCCAAGACCCTGCTTCTTACTCTCTGGAAATCGGCAATCTTTATTGGGGTCTACGCCGCTCTGTTGCGTCAGTTGTGCTGGACTGAGAAGGTCGAGCGCGACGTGCTGCTGGCGCCTGTGTGCTTTGTGGTTAGTGTGGCTACAGGTATGAGCGAGCAGCTGCTTGAACAGTTGCGCATGATGATGGTTTCGATACTCGCTGAGGCTATCGAACGCGTCGCTCAGAGCTGTGATGTGCAGGTACATAGCGAGTAGATGTCACCAACAGCATGGTGATACTTCATGTGTCGATTGGTAGCGGTAGTAAGCAGATCTAGGCTCCTCAACTAAAGCCGACAGCTACACAAATGATGACACATCATGATCTTTGATGCCCTCGCAGATCGTGATGTAGTGAGGACGCTGGGGAAGTCGCAGGCTGGATGCTGCAGTAGATAACGCCTCCATACACGTCAAAGCTCGACATGCGACCGGGCGCTGCTTCGTTGCGTAGAACATCCCCACTTACATATCTGCGACCTGACGCCCAGCCGTCACCGTATCAGCTTTCCGCTATGACGTGCTTTCTTCTTCGTGAACCAGTGTATCAACAATCCTTTCAAACCAACACGATAGACTGTTCACGAATGGTGCTGTCTCGAACGGCTTCCCCATGCATATATCCGTCGAAATAACAGTCGCCGATGAACTCATAATAGCCTTCAGGCGGCTTTTCCGACTGACAGTCACCACTGAAGTCGATGTCGCCATCGCTCCGGACTCCATCCGCATCTATGGGTTTGAGTGCTTCTCTTTCTTTAGGTTTCAAATGCGCGGGCCGCAGAATGAACGGTACGTTTCCACCGTCTAGAACCCATACCTCGTCCTCGACACGGACGTGCGGATAGCAGAGGCCCTGACCATTGCTTCCGGTCTTGAAGTAACGACGTCCATGTGTTGTGACGGAGATCATGTGGCATACTGTGGCATTGATCGTATCCTCTTTTCCTTCCACCCATGCAAGAAAGTGTTCGAGCCAAGGCATGGTTGCAGGACTATTTGCAGGGCTAGATTTGAGATCCCACGCGTGGCCTTCTCTATCGACTGGAACGTCCAATCCACCAAGCATCGTTCGCCAAAACGCTATGACTGAATTTGGCTGTCTATAGAGATTGCTCTGCATACTGATCTGAGCTAACGTGTCAGACGCACTCGAGTTGAGCGCGGATAACATCCATCTCTTGAAGACATTTTTATGTCTGATGTCAGCATCGTCTGTCGGGGAGATCAAGGTCTGTACGGCTTCGGATACGAAGGTAACTTTGCCTACACGCCTGCCTATGACCCCAAGTCCCACTCGTCTTACCACCTCACCCGACGACCGCGGGGAAGCTTTTAGCAATACAGCGCTCGATCTATAGTCGTCTGAAGCATTGAACACGCCATTATCGAATAGCTTGTACCGATCGAAAACCACATCGACGTCCATACGATCGCAAGGCGCGTCAAAGTCCCGCACCCAGGACGCCAGTTTGCCCGGCGCTGGGCCATATTGAGGGCCTGTCAGACTCTTCAAGAACCCTTGTTCGCGACAAAGCATTGTGTAAGTAGCCTGAAGAAAAACCTCCTCTTTAGACAAAGTGTAATCCGGGGTGAAGAATCGGTCATCAATGACCCCCAACAGCCCGTAGACCTTGTCGCGCGGGTCCTCACACGCCCGAAACCCGTATACTACATGTTGTGTTTGTAGGTCATGTCGCTTGAGCTTGCCGCTGCCATCGCGTTCTCGATCATAATGAAGGCTCCGAGTCATGGTGCAGAAGTCCTTTAGAGCATTGATCATTGTAATAGGCATTTGTGATACGGGGGGATTGCAACATGGCTTCCAGGCATGTTGGTCATAGTATAACCCGCAATCGGTGACCGTCTGAAGCGATGTCGTCCAGGTATCGAAGTACAAAGTGCCTGTCTTTGGTAAGATGGCTTCTTGTACGGTCCACAAGCGTGTCCACCAAGGGCTTCGATAGACAGCGAGGAAGCCTTCGCACAGCAGATTGAAATTGTCATCGGGCTTGTAGACAGCTGTATCGAGAGCCTGGGGATCAAAACATTGCCATTCATAGACATGGCGACCACTTGCCAGCAACCGTACGATTTCGAATGGATCCGCTCCTTTTGAGTCGTCATTCGCTCCATCGCCAAGGCGGCATTGCGAGGCATCGCAGCCTAGCCAAATCCGTACTTGGGCGCATCCGGAATATATCTTGCCCATGAGGGCCACTTGCTGCGACCGCTCTGTCGTATCCAACTGATTGATGCAAACAGCGTCTACCCACAGCGGAATTTCGTTCTCCGGGTCGCGCATATGGCGGAGCGCCTGTTCGAGGTTGGATGTAACTTCAACCGCGACGCCATCGACTTCGATCAGCTTGGTGGCGTTGGGGTCGCCCCAGGTATATGACAGAGCGTCATAATGCGGCTTCTCGTAGAAGCTGACTGGACGCAGGCTACACCGGATAGGCTCCCACGCGTTGCCAGCGTGCAGGCTGAGAATACGCAGGTACTCGCTCGCATGCGGTAAAGGCTTGTAAACAAGGTGGGCGGGGATTGGCTTGGCTTTGTTGGCGTGCACAACCATCGTGGGTGGTTGTTGCCTCAAGCCTCATCAAAGTGGGAGCTTGGAGCAGCTTACCGAGTGCTTCCTTCCGGCTACATCCTGCGTGCCTGCCAGGTCAACACGGAACAGCGAAGCGAGCCAGATCTGAGCCCCCAATTATCTCAGTCATTTCAGGCTCTAATGAACCTTATGCGCTCACCCTTTGCTTAATCGTCCCCTGCCCTGAAAAGTAAACGTCGAGATGCACGCACAAGCTTCCTCTTCCCCAATCTTATCAACCCTCTCGCAGTCGCGATGCCGATCCCATTGTACCCCGCCTCGCCTAACACCTCTGTTCTGCCAAAAGCAGTATCTTTCCCAGTGCGCACGCATCAGCCGACTCCCGTACCCCAGCGACAACAATGCGCAAGGCTAGTTCCCACGATACAGTTCACCCACCTGCAGGCCAATGTGGCGGCCGACTAGCTTAATAAGACGGCAAGTCCGTCCCGCACCACCCGGCAAGCGTACCCCTTGCCTCGTCGCAACGCCAATAGGCCGTGCAGCCAGCAGGAACCTTGGGAGAGCGCCTGCGTTTGACATGTGCGACTGCGACGCGGAAGCGATAAGAACAACATCAACAACTGCATCAACTTAAGGCGCGCATCTGGGACGTTGGGCATCCAGACATTCCGAGCTATTCTTTCGCAGCGGCTTGCAGCGTTATCATTAGCCCAGCCCTTATTCATCATAAGACGGACACCCTCTTATGCGCTGCGCACCGCGCATGGATTGAAGTCGTTCGCAGTACCCAAAATGGCCGACTTATCGCATACCCGAACGAACGACGAGATGCTTAAGAACGCCGCGCATCTTTCCGAAGACGTCCCACCCGAAGACGACGAAGTAAGCGGGTCCTCTAACATGAGAATAGTCGACTTTGGAAGAGATGGTACCGCCGATCCCGAGAATGGAGTAGTGGATGAAGCACATCAACAGCCGCCAAGACGCAAGAGGAGGAGGTTTGGACTGGGAAAGAAGAAAGAGAGTTATAGCCATACGCATTACAAGGTTTACAAGAGACGGTGGCTCGGGCTGGGCCAGTTGGTGTTGTTGAATATTGTTGTTAGTTGGGATGTAAGTTGACACCTGACACCGTCGCCCGTTCCGTTGTTTGCTTCTGCGGGTGTTGCGAAGGGGTCTTCCGTTCCGAACTTTGAGCAAGTCCCTGCGTTGTCGATCGGTGGTGTTGGGACAACATCGCATGAACATCATTGTTGAGCAGGAAGGCACTGCGAGATTTGACTGTAGCTAACACACAACCTAGTGGCTAACATTCGCCCCCATATCAACAACCTCATCGCAATACTTCCACGTCCCGGAATCATCCATCAACTGGCTGTCAACCGCTTTCCTCTTCTCCTTCGCTGCAACATGTCCATTAACGATTTACCTGCTCCACCGCGGCCCCAAACCATCCATCATCGCCGCGTCCATCTTGTTGCTGATCGGCAACTGGATCCGGTATGCGGGTACCAAGACCAATATCTTCCCCGTAGTCATGGTGGGCCAGATCTTGACGGGTTTGGCGCAGCCGTTTGTTCTGGCAGCGCCGACGCGGTATAGTGATATGTGGTTTACTGAAGGAGGAAGGATTGGAGCGACAGCGGTGGCGAGTTTGGCGAATCCTTTTGGAGCGGCGGTAAGTAATGACGCGGGAAGAGGAGAAGGAAAGATGGCTAACAAGACATAGCTTGCGTCTCTCATTAACCCTTTCTTGGGCGATGTGCCAACTACGGTGTTGATAGTCTCAATCATCGCAACCGTAGCATGCCTCCCGGTACGTCTTCTTATACCTCCAGTCAACCTCCACAACATATATGACTAACACCACACAGTCTTTCTTCATCCCCGCAGCACCATCAACACCCCCGTCTGCTTCTTCTGTCATCTCCAAAACGTCAATCATGACCTCCCTGAAGCACATGCTACGCACCCCCGCCTTCTACCTAGTCTTCTTCACATTTGGCGTCTACACCGGCTTCTTCAACGCCTTCACCTCGCTGCTAAACCAGATCCTGTATCCATACGGCTACACCGAAGACGAAGCGGGTATCTGCGGCGCGGTGCTCATCGTTGTCGGACTGGTAGCTTGCGCTATTACCTCACCCATCATAGACCGCACACACGCCTACCTGCTCGGCATCAAGATCCTGTGTCCCGTGCTATCAGCGGCTTATCTAGCGATGATCTGGGCGCCGGAGACGAGGACGATCGTCGCTCCGTATGTGCTCGGTGCAGTCTTAGGCGCATGTTCGTTTTCGCTGCTGCCGATCGCGCTGGAATACTTAGTCGAAATTACGTTTCCGGCCAGCCCGGAGGTTTCCTCTACGATCTGCTGGGTCGGAGGACAAGTCTTCGGCGGCATCTTCATCGTCATCATGAACGAGCTCAAAGACGGAAGACCCGTGGATCTGGACGCTGTACAGGACGCGGGCAGGGATGAGGCGACGGGTGGAAATAGACCACCTGGACATATGCTTTGGGCGTTGGTATTCCAGGCTGTGGTTTGTGCGGTAGTGTTGCCACTGCCGCTTTTGTTGGGTGTGAAGCGACTGGGCCTCGCTAGTAGAGAGGGCAGGCTGAAGAAGGATGTCGATGGCGATAGCGTTGTTGTCGCGGAAGAGGGGTCCGGTGAGGGCGTGCAGGGACACGAGCAATGACTCCTTGGGGACATGGATTCTGGTGATGATTACGAGGATGATGAGGATGATGACGACGACTAGGGTTTCTTTATAAGCTAGGTGTTCTTACCTAGTCTCTTCGGGTTTATCTTGGGAGGGGAACTGGTTTCCTTGGTTCGTCTTTTTCATTATTATTGTAAAAGGGATTCATGTCCGCGTATAACGTATAACCAACACATTACTTTGGTTCATTCATGATGTTGTGCAATGTCTTGATTTGGATCGGGAGATAGAAGTACAGTGATATTCTAAACACGACTCTAATATGTACAGTCATCCACGCATTTGACATGTCTTGATGCTTGCATTCATTCCATTCCGAAAGGGCTACGTTCCTACTACTTGTCGTGTACCAACATTGTATTGGTATTCGCTCGTAGGAGGACGAGGATCGGCGGGGTCGGGTCTGTTTACTTGAGCTGGGCGAAGAGCTTGGGGGCGGCGCATTGGGACGCGCAGTGGGCGAGGTGGAAAACTGGGATTTGTGTTAGAGGCTGTGGACAGGTGATTGGAGGTGGGTTGTTGACGTACATTCTTCAACGCAGTCCTCGCTGGCCTTGCCGTCGTTCTCGATCTGGCCTGTTACCCGTTGGGCGCACTCGTCGTAGTGGTGCTTGGGGCCGTGGCATTCCTTCGACTCGGCGCATTCTGCATGGGATGGTTAGTCACTGTTCCGTCTGCAGTGGCGCTGTGTGTCTGGTATCGGGCCCTGTCGGATACGGTGGGCTTCTTATCGACACGTCCGACCAAAGCCGAAGCGCCCCAGACACGCAATTGATGTCTCAGGCCGCTGAATTGCCATATTCGTAGTCCGGGATAACTCACCCTGCTCAAGCTTCTCCTTTGGGTCGGGCTCCTCCTCGTCCTCTTCCTCCTCCTCAGGCTCATCCTCGTCATCGCCGCTCGGCTTGTGTCCCTGCTCGCCCGAGTCGCCGCCCTTCTTCGCATCCTGCTTGTTGACCTCGGCCTCGTCGCCGCTCTCCTCGTCGGTGCCGGACGCAGGCGTCTGGGTGCTGGTGCCACCTTGGACGGGCGGTTGGCCCTCGGCGTCGGCCGAGGGGTGGGAGAAGGTCTCCCAGACGTCGGAGAAGAAATCGGTGATACCCATTGTGGTGGCTCCGGGGCAATTGGGGGTCCTCGAGTGTGGGTGCGGGTGGTAGCGGAGGTGTTGGGCGATGGGAAACGAGAGCTGCGAGAGGTGTCATGCCGGGATCGCGAAAATGGGCGGTGCACGGGCCAGCGAAATGGTTAGCGGCGTCATGTAATTCTGAGCCATCTCAGTGGTCTCTTCACTTTGCGATATCGTCCGCCGTGTCTTCCTTCAACAATGTTGTTTTCATATTGTAGTAGAGACACGACTAGTTTCTATGCTTCTTGAACGCCTCCTCCACGCTAATTCCGCCGCCCACATTCGCAATCACCCTCTCGTCCGCCTCGATCAGCTTCGGTAGTAGATCGAGCAGTTCGTCTACTTTGCCCTGTGGCACCGCGACCACGCCATTCTCGAACGGGTCGATCATGATGATGTCGCCGGCTTCGACCACCGTCTCGCCAATCTTCACGGGTACATTGTGTGCATGAAACTTAGTCTCGGCCCCCGCGCCGATGACAGACGTCGCTTTGGACCAGATGGGCAGCTGCGTCTGGTTCAGCGCAGTGATGTCCCGCACGCGACCGTCGACTACGATACCCTCTGCACCGAGATGCTGCATGCGAGCCGCCATGATCCCGCCGACGACCGCGCACGACTGCCCTGGAGGCTGGCTGATGACTACAATGGTGCCGCTCTCGGTGTAGTCTGCATATGGTCGGGAGTCTGCGAGATTGGAAGCTGGAATGCTGTCCGCCATCTTGGGAGGGCTCGGGAACGACTTGGTCGCTTTCGGAATCATGAGGAAGGTCGACGCAGGCGCGAGGACCTTTTTAAGCTCAGGCTTGGGAATGCTGGCTGTATGAAGCAGCGGCCCTGACGAGGTCAATGACTGATGTGACACATTGTCTTCAATTGATCGTACTGATATCAGCGAGGAAACCCGCGCCTGGTACGTGTAGCTTCAGTAGGCCATCAGCGAGCTACAAGAGTTTAGCTACGGATCTGGCTATGGAGAGGGTAAGCGTACGTCACATGCTGCGTATTCATATAGCTTCTTCCATCTGGGTGATGCCATTGTCGTGGTTCTGTAGTATTGATCGCGAGACAATGTATATGATCTAGACGTGCAGCGCGGCAAGCTACGAGGCTCTTTACCCCGCCAGCCGAGGTGCGCCGCGACTATGTCTTCTCCAACATGGAACTAAACGACCCCGAGTGTCGCATGCGTGACCCCGGATGTAGACTTCGCAGTCGATCAGACAGTCGAGATTGATCGGTTGCACTTGCTTCCTCTACGTCATCGGCCAATTGCATCAAGCCCTGGGGCGCGTCACGGAAGAAGACATTTCTGTAGCATGCTGCACTTGAACGGACGCGATAACAAAAATGCATAATATCCTACAAGACGACTATGTGATGAGTCGTGGCGGTGAATATGAGCCAGATGGTGGCGCAAGGTCGAGTTCCGCTGTATCGCCAAGCACACGACAGATGCAAGGGTCTCGGAACTTAGATGCATCTCAGCACTGGCCCATTCTGCCACTTTCCATAGACGTGACGAGTAGCTTTCCGTGGCCTCTCGCCGCCACGCCCAATCCACCGCCCACGCGCGCCTATTCCTTTTCGTTCATCTGGTACTAGACATCGTCACTGCGGCCTCTGCGCTGCGCATTCTTCGCCATGGCCCTCCACGCGGCCGGCGCTGCCCAGGTGCGTTTTGCCACGAGTTCCGACATCGCGTCATTGAACCCCTACTGACTGAGATATAGAAGGTCGCTTCTGTCACGTCGCAACTGTCGCCCACCATGTCTACCGTCCTGCGCTCCCCGTGGCACGCCCTGGGCCGCATGCCCACGGCTGCCGGCGTCAGGCAGCTCACTACCGCATCTTCGTCTTCATGTTCAGGTCAGCTGCAATGAGGCACAGTTGGGGCACAACACTGACACTCTGCAGTACCGCACGTCGGACTATGCAATTCCCTCGCCATGACATCGCCCGTCGCTGCCCTCAGGGCCCGCCAGTTCTCTTCCATGTCGCGCACCGGCCCTCTCTCGCACCTCCGCCAGCTGACCAAGCCCGGCATGCTCGGACTCAGCCTCGTACAACAGCGCTCGCTCTTCGGTGGCCCCTCTCAGGAACAACTCGCTCGCCTCGAACAGGCTGCTAATGCCAGCCCTACGAGCGCCTCCGCCCAGGCTTCCTTCTACTCGGCTCTGCTGCGCGGCAACTACCACCAGATCATCATCGACCGGTACAACACAGGACGCTTCGCCACCAACTCTACAATCGACAAGATGTACAACAACGCCTTGGCAAAGACGGGACAGGACGGCGGCGAACACTCAGGGCTCACTGCGAACCAACGTCAGGCGATTACCCAGGCCATCGGCGCAAACGCTGGCGGTGCTCAGGTCGCCAAGACTAGGGGCGGTGCTGGCGTCAAGGCCGACCCCGTCTACGTCGTTGTCGAAGAGTCTCTGATGAATGTCATCTTTAAGTGGGTCCGCTGGATCTGCGGTTTCGCTCTGGCTGCCTACGTCTCCCTGATCCTCATCACTCTCTTCGTCGAGACCAGCGGCGTCCTCAAGAAGGGCGTTGGCGGTAAAGAGAACGCCGAAGTCCGCCCCGAGCAGCAGAACACCCGCTTCAGCGATGTCCACGGTTGCGACGAGGCCAAGGAAGAACTCACCGATGTCGTCGACTTTCTCAAGAACCCAGACAAGTACAACAAACTCGGCGGCAGACTCCCCAAGGGTGTACTCCTCGTTGGCCCCCCTGGTACTGGTAAAACTCTGCTTGCTCGTGCTTGCGCAGGAGAGGCCGGCGTTCCCTTCTTCTACATGTCCGGTTCCGAATTCGACGAAGTCTACGTTGGTGTCGGAGCCAAGCGTGTCCGCGAACTCTTCACTGCTGCTCGAGGCAAGGCGCCTGCCATTGTCTTCATCGACGAACTTGATGCCATAGGCGGAAAGCGTAGGTCGCGCGACGCCAGCTACCACCGCCAGACCCTCAACCAGCTTCTCAACGATCTCGACGGTTTCGACCAAAGCAGTGGTGTCATCTTCATTGCTGCCACCAACCACCCCGAGTCTCTCGATGAAGCCCTGCTTCGCCCCGGACGCTTCGATCGTCATGTCCAGGTTGAACTTCCTGATGTAGGTGGCCGACTGGCTATCCTCAAGTACCACACTCAGAAGATCCGCCTCTCTCCCGATATCGACCTTTCTACCATTGCCCGTGGCACGCCTGGATTCTCCGGTGCAGAGCTGGAGAACGTCGCCAACTCGGCAGCTATCCGTGCTTCCAAAATACAGGCAAAGTTCGTCTCTCTCGACGACTTGGAGTGGGCCAAGGATAAGATCAGTATGGGCGCAGAAAGGAAGAGCCGCTCCGTACCGCTCAAGGACAAGATTCACACCGCCTACCACGAGGGTGGCCATGCGCTCGTCGGTCTCTACAAGCCTGGCTTCAACGATCTGCACAAGGCGACTATTCTTCCCAGAGGTCACGCTGCTGGTATCACCTTTTTCCTTCCGGAAGAAGAGGGCCACCACACTCGCAAACAATACATACGCCAACTGCAGGTCTCTCTGGGCGGCAAGATCGCCGAAGAGCTTGTATATGGTGAGGAGAATGTATCCACCGGAGCTTCTAGCGACATTTCCAACGCAACGAGAATAGCGTACATGATGGTCACTCAGTGCGGTTTCTCGGAGAAGCTTGGCAACGTCGACTACAAATCTAATTACGAGATGGTCGCACCCGAGACCAAGCGAATCATCGACGACGAGGTGCGGAAGTTGATCGATGAGGCAAGAAAGGATGCGAAGGAGCTGCTGCTATCGAAGCGCAAGGAGCTCGACAGATTAGCCGATGCACTTGTGCAGTACGAGACGCTGGACAAGAAGGAGATCATGAAGGTCATCAAGGGCGAGGACCTTCCTGGCCGGCTGAAGGCCTTGCCTGACGCGCCCATCAAAATCCCAGATAACCCACTCCCCACGGCAATAAGACCAAGGGGTGATGGTGGTGACGGCCCAGAACCTCCCGCTCCCATACCTGCGTAGTTAGCGGGATGGGAATGATGGATGTGCATGAAAGCACGTTGTTTACGAGGTGAATGGCGTTCGTTCGACCTCTTCCCTCTCGTTGGAGGGTTTCGCTTCATTGGTCATGTACAATATTAGGAATACTTTAGCTTAGCGAATAGAGCGAGCTATTGACCACGACGCGCCATTGATCGTGGTGAAAGCTGTATGCGGAGATGATGGAAAGAAAGAGGTAGACTGATGATAGTAAGACAGCAACGAGGAATGAGAACAGACACATCAATACAAGGTGCTGCCGATCCAGATGAAGCGGCTAGGTACGCTCTTAGAGGTCTTACACCCCAACCTTTGTGAATTCAACCAGGTAATCGCTAACGCGATGTATTCACTCATGTCACCAGTTTGAAGACCAGCTTCACCTGGCGATGAGCAAATGAGCAGTGGCGTAGTTCTGAGACCATTCCTCTTTAGTTCTGCTCTTCAAGATCGCGAAACAAGAGCAATCCACCATGTACCTCCGAGCTTTAGCAATCACTGCAGCCAACTCAACTTCTTCACGATCACTTCTACGGCTCCAGCCCCGTACTTCTATTCGACCTTGGAATTACAACATGACCAGCTTCCGTAACAATCGGACTACGCCTTCAGCATCGCGCAACATCACCGGCATTGTCGACAAGTACGCGTCACCGGGTTCAGGTTCATCACTACCGGAATACTCGCGGCGGTCGTATGATCCTATTCTAAGCGGTCGTGGACACGGTGATGTCAGCATGTCTTCCTTACCATCACCATCGCCATACCCCCTTTCAAACTCCAGGCGAGCCTACCTCCATCAACATCAAGCAAACTCCACGCATTCAGGCTATCTCGACCGCGCCCAACTTTTCGGTCGTACACCTATTCCTATCCAACAAATCGCACGTCGCGCCCGCCCTCCTTCAACCTCGAACGAACGAAACATACGAAAGCGATCCTCGCGTACCCCTACGGGTGAGTGGGCGGAAGCCGGCCTTCCTGAGCCGCCTATCGAGGCGAGTAGGGTTAGCGCGGGGAATGCTGAGGGTTTGATTTGTACGCCTAGTGGTATAACTACTCTTGATGTTGAGGAGGATACGCCGGGGCGGTTTTCGCCGACAGCCCGGACGCCTACTGGGAGTAAGATAGAGCCTGCTGAAGATGCGTTAAGGGAGCAGTTTGAGAAGGGTAGGGTAGAGCTGGCTAGGGATCTTGCGTGGCGAAGTAGTTCGAATAGGAAGTCGAAGTGGGCTGGGAGGGGTTTTGACACGGAGCGTGAGGGGCATGTGTCTTCTAAGACGCCTTCTGTTGCTTCTAACGAGGAAGAGGAGGAGTTTGGGTATGTGGATCCGGCGAGTGTTAGGGATGTTCTTGCGCGGGTGAACGCGAGGGGGGTAACTGGACGTCCTCAATCGCTCTTCGATGGTTCGCAGCGTATGAGGAACAGCGATGGGCCGAAAGACAGCTATTTCGATGTGGATGTTCCGCGCCGCAATAGGAATACGCTCATCACCGATTCATCGGATGCAGACATGGCTTTGCCAAAACTTCCGGATCGCCGTGTCTTTTCGAAAGTACAGCGATTAGTCGCACCACCGCCGTCCACGAAGACGCCAACTCGTCGAAAGCACCCATCTCCAGCTATCAATCGAACTGAGCTTTCGTTCTCGCCTATCATGACTGCCATCAACGTGGCTCCCCAGCCAACACGCCATGATTTCGATATCACGCCCGTTTCCACCGATCTCTCCTTCAGCTCCTTCAGCTCCATCACAACAACAATATCTCAACCACCTACTCCTCCACGTAACCGCACCGGTCTCACCTTCTCCTAGGCTACAGCGATTATTTACTGCTGCATGGCTATAACAGCATCACACCAAGCGCTCCTTGGACTCGGCGGAGATATTACTGCTATGGACTTGATCGTGGGTCTTTACGGGGCTTTCCTTTTTGGTGTCGCCATATGTGTGGCTCTACAAGTGCTGTTAGGTGCTGGACTGTGGTAGGTGCCGGGGGACGTTCTGTGATGGTGCGGGCGGGGGCGAGGTTTTGTACGTGAGGTTTTTTTGGGAGGGGTTTGAAGATGGAGTTTGAGAGTCTCGCAGTCAAGTATAGGTGCGCATTATGCATGCTTTTTGAATGACGGTATAAAGAAACCTTGGAAGGTTGTTGTTAACTAAGCGACAAGTTGTTTCGACAACTTTAAGGGACATGATGTAGATATGGGGAATGATGCGCACTACGGTATAGTGAGTAGCTATGTAAGGTTCATGTTGATCGTTGATATCATTCCGTACCAAACCAATAGCCTCTCATGATGTGCGTGAATAAATCGATTTGAACATCAAGATGTTCGCGACCATCACTCCACTCCACTCAATAACCCTTCACCAAAATTTCATGCCGGTACCACATCCACATCCCATCCCCGGTCCCCTCTCTCTCCATTCCCAGTCACCCCTGCGGCCTCCTCCTCCCCTCCTCCGCCTCCCGATCCCCCATCAACGACTCATCCGCATCCCCATACTCCATAACACGCCTCCGCGCCTCCCTCGATATCGCGTCGTTCTCTTCCTGCACGCGACGGCGCTCCGCTTCAGCCCGCGCCTCGATAAGATCCTGGACGTAAATCGTGGCGTCGGTGAGTTTGGTGATGATGAAGTTTGCGATTGCTCGCGGGGAGCCGGGGCCGTTGCTGTCCATTGTGTTTTGGAAGGTGTTGTGGGGTGTGTGGGTTGAGTGAGGTATGTGGGATATGGGGGATATGTGAGATATGTGCGATTAAGTGGTGCAGAGAGTAAGATTTTGAGAGATTAGAATGAGGGAAGGCTAGGGATGTATGGTGGTTGTTTTTGTTGCGGCGATGGTAAAGAAGGGAAGAGGTGAATTGTGCCTTCACCTGCTTCCCATGGTACGTGGTGGACCCTTATCCGCCTTCCACGTTGATATGTCTAACCTGCTGATGCGTCGCTTCGCGAAGTTCACTACCGCATTCACATTCCATTCCAGCCTTGGAATGCGCCCGCTGACCTTCACTCGTTGTGCTGTCCGGATTTGGTGCCCACATAAGCGCAGTACTGGCAGGTTGAGACGAGCGTTACCCTTTATTTCTTGTTATACATCCTCTCCGCTCTTAAAACACCATAGCCCCACCATCAACAATGATATCCGTCCCATTAATATACCTCCCCGCATTACTACACAGTAAGACCAACGGCCCCGTAAGCTCCCACGGATGTCCCATCCTCCCCATCGGATTCCTATCATTCCAACTCTTCCTTGCCCTAATCAATCCATCCCCATCATTCAGTATCGTGTCCATATACCCCGGGCTCAGACAATTAACCCTAATACCATAGCTACTCCACTCTGCCGCCAGACTCTTCGCCAGCGACAACAGCGCCGTCTTGGACGAGTTATACGCGCATTGCGGCTGAGGGTAATTCGTGTGATGCGCAGATATACTCGCCGTAAACGTAACACTACCCCCCGTGCCTTGCGCACGGAATTGCTTCGCAACAGCCTGTGCGCACAAGAACGACCCCGTAAGATTGATATCATGGGTGCGCCGCCACTCATCCGCCGCCATCTCAATCGCGTGTGTGCAGCCTACGACGCCGGCGAAACAGCAGAGCATGTCTATGCTGCCCAGCACTTTTACGCTACTTTCTACGGCTGAAGCAATGGCGTTCTCGTCGCGGACGTCGACGGCTTCGGTTATGATGCGTGCGTGAGGGAACTGGGAGTGCAGTTTCTTGACGCTTTCGAAGGCTTGGTCGGGGTTCATGTCCCAGAGGGCGAGTCCGGTGGCGCCGTGTTCGAGGAGGGCGGCTGCGGCTTCGAGGGCGAGGGTGCCGGCGCCACCGGTGACTATAGTCATGGTGGTTAGTAAGATGGTCTTGGTGTGGGGTGTGTGGATGGGGATGAAGAGGGCGAGGTTACCCTAAAGGCGTTCACGTACTGATCGCGTTGCCCTTGACCTGGAACCTATACTGCGCTCTCTCTGCGGTGGAAAGGTTCTCTGGTGGTGGCTTAGGTGCTGTGAGAGGGTTGTCTGCTGTCGACAAGGTCATCTCTGGGAGCTGTCGGTTGACGAGCGCGGCGCGGTCTTCTGCGTCTCCTGCCATTTTGATTGGATATTTCGCGACGATGAATTGAATGAGACTCTGTGGCGTATGATCTGGCGTATTGGGACTTCAAGATGCCGAATCGGCCTTCTTATGGACGCGTTCGGACGACAGAGGTCCATTTGTTCGGATTGTTGGTGGAGCGCGCCCAGCTCGAACATGACGTCGGAAAGGGTCCGCCCCACCAGCTCGTCAGGAAGGTGTGCCGAGCGCGGGGTGAACTGCGACACCACAACCTTCGTTTCCACGGTGTTGATGTGCGACCATCGAGCGTATATCCATGCGCCTCAGCGACTCGCTCGCAGCACTGTTGTGTTCAGACGCAACATTCCCACAAGTCGCGATGTGCGCACCCGATCCGATTTAGCGATTGCACACAGCGCAACATGTGGAGCGACTAACCACTGAAGGGTGAATGCTTTCATCAATATGGTCGCTCAGTACCGGCATTCTTTTTCACACAGAACCGATAGTGGTTGTGAGTGGATTCTAATCACTTCGAGCATGTAACCCACTCAAGTGTGGGAACAGCAGTCACCGCCATTGTTCATCTTGATCAGTTCAACCATGAAATACTCATCGCAACCAACCCCGTCAACCCTCGAAAGGGACTTCGGACCGGAATGGTCCGACCGCCTTCGCACAACCATCCCATCCAACTCAGAGCTGATGATCGTCGAACAAGAAGCATGGAAGGATCAAGCACATATGAGAGATGATACACTAGCCGACCCAAGACCTGTTGACCCATGGAGGCTATTTACTCCACCGGGGACGCCTGGGCAAGAAGAAGGATATTTAAGAGAAGTGGCGGACGATGGGTTTACGCTCGTACAGAAGTACGATGCCACGAGTTGGGCGCTTGTCAAATACGACTACAATTTCGAAGCTTTCGAGAGAGTCAAAGCGCATCGATTGCGCTGTAGTCTGGAAACGCAAAACTTTGCGAAGAAGATTGTGTGGTATGTCTTCTTAGCTGTCCTGGTTCATGGGATTTGGACGCACTGGAATGAGTCGGAGAAGCGCGGCATGTGCGACTGCTATTGCCCGTACTGTATCACAACACACGAATAATATTTGGGTTTGCTGGACGGAGTCGGATGGAATGAGACAATGTCTGCAATGCTTTCCCAAGCATATCATGAGCCGACCGCGATGTCAGAAAGATATGTGGCCTTCTTTACGCATTCTTGTACGTGCTGGTACTTAAGTAGACGATGAAGTCGCTGTGTCCGCGTGAAATAACTTCTTTGATTCACCGTGATGATCCGTCAGTACTGACTTGACAGCAACTCCGTCCCCTACCGCGCAGCGCGCAATGCAGCTAAGATGTGGGGTCTCCACATCGTACCTCCCACTAGCGATAGCCCGATCTGCATCATGAAAACGTACAACCACCCAGCTGACCATCCGCTCCCCGATCATGACCGGCAGGTCCGGGCTTTTTCCACCCATCTACTTGCGACCCTTTCCAATCCCATCCAATGGCAAATGGCTCCGACCTGGTAAAACGCGGTACCAAAAGAGCAAGAACGCGGCACGGGTCAGTACAATCAACCGCACACCACACAAACTACAACAACAACAAAACACTAACCCGCATCCCCCAGCTGCATCAACTGCAAAGTAAAAAGACGCAAATGCGACGAAACGAAACCCACATGCGGTCGCTGCAGCAGCAAGAACGAAAAATGCAACTGGGCTTCTCGCCTCACCTTCCGGGCCGAGAACGCGCTGGGTATCGGGCCATCATCGCTGCATCGCTTGCCAGAACGACCGCCTGCACGGTTTAAGATAAAGGATGTGACGGAGGAGGTTATACGCGACTATCAGAATTACCATCCAGTAGTGGATGATCTTGATGTACCAGACCATTTCGATCATGAGCGGCAGACTCCGACTTCTGGCAACATATCGCCAGCTACAGCCGACGATCAGATACCACAGCATCAAGCTCACACTCACACATATTGGCAGACCAACACCCCTTTCTCGGCTGCAGAAAGTGGTTTGGATACGCTCCAGTCGTCCCAGTATGTCCCTTTACCCACTCCAGGAGACATCGAATCGATTTGGCACAGTCCTGGCACGACTACGTATCTAGACGACAGCGTCTTCCTACCAGGCTCAGCGTATCTCGATGCGCATTCCACGTTCCGGAGCCATTTGATACAGGAAGTGAGATCTAATGTGCCGACGAGGGAGGTTACACCTGATGCTGCGCGTGTTGGACTGGGCTGGGGAGGGGTGCAAGGAAATTATGCTGAAGATGCAGCTAGGCACGTTACGGAAACCTCTCTTGACGCCACTACTGTTAACGAGCCGGATGCCACAAACATCCCACCACCCCAGCTATCCGCAGAGGAAGAGTTTGAACTATGGAAAAACTGGCTCGACGAAGTAGCACCCTGGATCGATAAATTCGACCCAGAGCGGCACTTCCAACGCACCCTACCCATCATGGCGCGCTCACACGACCACTTGCGGTACTCGATGCTCGCGCTCTCAGCCCGCCAAATAGAGCGGAAGAACAACAGTAAACACACCTCGCGCAGTCTAGCGCTCTACCAAACCGCCATTCAACTCGTACTACCACAACTACACACCCGCAGCACGCCGGTAATAGCATCATGCGTTGTGCTATGTGTACTCGAGATGCTGAGTAGTTCGGCGAAAGCGTGGCATCAGCATCTAGATGGATGTGCGCATTTGCTAGAAGCTGTGGGAATTAATGGGTTTAGTGGTGGTGTGGATCAAGCGCTGTTTTGGTGCTTTGCTCGCATGGATGTTTGTGGCGGGCTTATCGCGTCGTCTAAGACGCTGATACCGGTAGAGCATTGGGCTTCATCGGGGATGGGTCTCGATGCCGACGTGGACCGTTTCCGTTCTGTTGGCGACTACAACGTCTACGCGTGCGAAGCCGTGTATCTCATCGCCCAGATCCTCGATTTGCTGTCTTTCCATTCCAACCTAGCCGGTCGCGTGGGCGTCACACCACGCTTGCCCACAGACACAGATACTGCATACACCGCTCGTTGGACAAGACTCTGGCACCACATATCCACATGGTACACCACGCGTCCCGCAGAAATGCTTCCCATATCCACATTCACCCCACCCACCTCCCCCTTCCCACGTCTCCTCTACACCAACCCCGCCGCCATGTCCGGCACCCAACTCCACCACACCGCCTGCATCTTGATGCTACGTCACAAACCTCCCAACACCACCGTTACACCTAAACCAAACTCGATCTTCTGGCACGCGCGTCAGATTTGTGGGATCTCGATCAGCAATGATGATCATGCTGCGTGGACGAATGCGATCCAGCCGCTGTGGATTGCGGGGCAGTGGATGAGCCATGAGAGTGAGCAGAAGGCGATTTTGGGGTTGTTGGAGAAGATTGAGAGACTCTCGGGGTGGAGTACGAAGTGGAGGGCGGAGGATTTGAAGGAGTTTTGGGGGTAGTGGAGAGGGTTGATGTGAGGCTGGAGTTCAGCCTGGTCTTTTGTAGTGCATGTGGTGGCGGTGTTACGCGAAGCCTTGGGTCGTTTGCCGCTGGAGGCGCATTTGGTATCCTCGATGGGTGAGGCTCCCAATCACGTTCGACGAAATTGGAGGCAGAAATTCAGCTTTCGAAGCTTAGTGTCCAGTCGTGAAAGCCTCTCGTGTTCACGGGCTTGGCGGCATCTTCCGGCCCCCCATGTTCAGCCTCGTGGCCTGGTCTATTATGTTAAAAGCTTTGCTGTTGCCAGGTGTTGGGATGGCCTAATTCATATCGGCATAGCCTTGCTGTAATTCGAATCCGCCGAAATGGGCAACAGCTTCGGTTTCCTGAGAGGCGAAAGCGGAAGTGGGTTTCAGTTCAACGTGGTTGAAGCCTGCAAGGCTGAAGATGTAGACCTCGCTCAGGCTTGTAGCCTGACGTTTGGTGCGGATCGTGACCTGATAGCGATTGGCAATGTTACAAGGGGAGCGATGGTGCCGCAGCCTGGTATAGCCGGGATCGGAGTAAGTCCAGGTTGCTGATCGCAGACATTGTACGTGAGCTAACGTCGCTAGATCTGGATCGCGATGGTACTGTTCTTTGTTGTTGTCGCGATATCTCTCATCTTTGTCCTTATCGAGCTCTGGTCCAGAGCAGATGTCTCGTGAGTAGCTCGAAGCGATTGCTGGATAAGGCTAATCGTCAACGCAAATAGTCAATTCAGCAGCGCCTTCGCGAGTCTCAGGGACAAACCCAATAACAAGACTCCCGGAAATCCGAACGCGGATCCGACATGGAAAGACAAAGTGCGCGCAGCTGGCCGAACGTTCGTCTTGGGCGTTGCAGACACCCAGACTATCTTCGTCGGAGCTTTCCTTCTCGGCTTTGCTGGCCGGAGCAAATGTAAGCTGACAAGTTACCACTTTACAGTCGCCGTCAGTCAGATGATGATTGCGCTGTCCGTTCTCACCTTCTCCATCGCTCTGGTACGGACGTACTGGCGTAATCCACTTGCAGCCGCTTTTCGACTAATTCTCTCGGTTGGGGCCTTCATCGGTGTCGGATTGACCATCTTCAGGGAAGCCAACTATGCCCCGTATGACGCGCTCAAGCACTCGAGCCAAGACAGCGCCATCCTCCTCCCAGTAGCATGTATGCTAGAGATGGACCTACGATCAGCAGCAGAAGAGCAAGCACGCCAGAACCAAGCCAATCTCGGTTTCGGAAACGCAAAAGCCTGGCCACCTGAAAGATCCATGTACATAGTCCTCGGCGTCGCTTTCATCGCCGCCCACATCTCAGTCCCCATCCGTTTTGCCGAATCCAAGGACCGCGCGCCAAAGGTGTGGACGGAGAAGCGGGCCTTCGTCACCTTGATCTACTGGATCTTGGTGTTGCTCACACCCATCGTGACGTCGATGTTTTGCTGGTTCCGCGTATACACAATGCGCGAGTGGGTAGCTGGTTCTGGGTGGATGGAGGATCCGAATACGGAGATGATAGTGTGGGATTCGGGACAGTTGATTGCTATGGGCGTGCTTATTACGGTTGTCATGAATGTGCTTACTGAGGCGAAGGAAAGGGAGAAGAAAGACGCGAAGAAAAAGGATGAAACGGATGGAGAGGCTGGACTAGAGTTGCTGCCGACCGCGTATCGTGGGTATGAGTATTAGGGTGCACGCGTCTTGAGATTGGTGGAGTATGGCGAGCGGCTTGGAGCCAGGAAATGTGACGACATGATCGATGATGAACCTATCTCTGCATCGTGTCGGTTTTTGCGCGTCGTTAGAAGTGAGTTTCGTTTGCGCATGAATTGTGACATTGTGTTGGTGATGGTGAAGAGTGGGCGCGTCGCGATTTCAAAGCGCGATGACGGCACCAGAGTGCACGGACTCTCGGAGGTTGCGGCGATGTCGACCACTGTATGGTTGTCTCCATTACCACCACCATCGCCGCCCGAGACACGCAGAACCCGGTCGAAGGCCTTACGTAGCTTGCGCCTTCTATATACGATTCACGACACCGAGTGCACCTCTTTCCCTACGGATGGGCACACCACCACATCGCCCCCAACTGATCGCTGCCTTGGCTGGTGCCGTGTGCTTTCACTATTACCGTTATACAGCGACATATTCACACCTAATCTAATACCCCCCTGCAGACCCACCCACCACCGAGAGCGTCAGACCCTATCTAAACACATTTGCCCTACACATACACCGATTCAACGTCTCGCATTGGCCGCTTCAACGCCCCGCCACCATGTTCACGAGCTTCACCGGCAACACGCGAAAGGCGCGCCAAGTCAACCTCGGCGGCAAGAAGACGAATCCCTTCGGCCCTCCCGGCTCCGGCGCCGGTTCACAAGCCGCCCTCGACCGCGCACAGCAAGAGCGAGCCCAACGGCAGCGGGAACGAGACACGCTCAATGCGGCCAAGCGGATACAGAAAGTATGGCGGGGTCACTCGGCCAGGAGAGATGTGGCTGACGAGCTACGGGGCGCATGGGACCGGGTAGAAGACGCGAACGGCTCTTCGAGGGCGGCGACATATGACACGGAGGAGGAAGCTCTTGCCCAGCTACAACGGCTGCTTCGATTCGCATCGTCACGGAGCGATGATGATCTGCGACGGATACAGCACTATGCATCGCGGCAGATGGAGACAGTTAAGAAGTTGGGCATCACATCCAGCGGGCCATGGCCGTGGGCATACCTAAGGCTGGAGCGCATCCTACTCGTGGCCATAGAGCGGCAGCTTCAGAAGCACGCGCCGATGCAATGGAATCAGGTTGGGGCCTCTCTCACCGTCTTACAGTTCCTCGCCGACCAGATACCCGCCGAAACGTCCCAGAATGCCGAGCATTACTACCGCACTCTTGCACGCGTCGTGGCCACCTTCACCCCAACACTCGAAACGCAGAGCGAAGGATTGGAGATAAGTGACACCATAGTCAGGGCAGCCCTCTCGCCGATGACGCGGGTCACTGGCTACACACTGGATGCTTATGAGGCTTTTGGTATACATTTCCTGACCCTCCCACTATTAGGCTCGGACTCAACGTCACCACCATTACAAAAGTTCCGCGACTCGCTTGCCGACGCCATCAACTACAAACTACTCGCAAACGCATTGGCGACACTTTCCAAGAGGGCAGGACTGCAAAGCAAATCCGAGCTGAAGAACACATCAAGTAGACTACGTTTACTAGGAAACTTTATCTACTTCCACCGCTACGCCCACAACTTCGACACCCCCGAAGCTTATGCTGTTCACAAAGACTTTGTAGCCGTCGTATCGGTTCTGTTGAACTCTTTACCAATCAACATTGTAGATGATGATCATCCAATCGCCGAGCTTTCCGAAGACGACGGTGCCGACCAAGACTCTAGCGCCGTGTCGAATTTCTTGAAAGAGCAAGTCCGCTCCCTGGTACATCAGGAGGGTATTGGAAGTCTGTTGGCCGGATCATCACAGTCAGCGGAAGCTTCAGATGATGAGAAGGTCGAAGAAGCCCGGCAGCTTGCAAACTACGCGCTTGCATTACTTCGCTTTTTCCCTCGTCGCGGTGATGAGATACGAATGTGGCTCTACATCGGCCCATCAGAGGCGTCTGGCAAGAGCGCAAGGAAGCTTCCAGCGATCAAATACTTCTGGGAAGCATCAAAACGATCATCGGTCTTTACCACCATCTTCAGGGACTCAAGGGCAGCTATTGGACTCTTGAAGCCGAAAGCTTCAAATCTGAACAACTCTGACCGCCCAGGGACGTCCGGGCTAACGCAGCATGGCTTCTGGCAGCCAGCACAACAACAACTTGATCGCGACGCAGTCACAACCGACGAATGGCGGGTCATCCTGGTATTCCTTGAACTATATACCTTTGTACTCAAAGTCACCGACGACGAGGAGTTCTTCACCTCGGGGCAGAAAGACATCTACTCGGGCCAGATCCGCGACAGCGGCTTGCCTCTAAGTGAAGTGAAGGATCTGACGACTTTCCTGAAGAATTTGGGCTTCACACTTTACTTCAACGCAGTAGACATTACAACCTCGGAAGAGGACATGGGAGGCAATAACAGAAGTCTTAGCTACTTCAATCCTGGAGTCATGGACAATCAAGCCCAGAAAGAGCATGCTGAGCCATCAATAGGTGGTGTCGCAGGCTTGAGGATAGATTACGTGAAAGGGCTCGTCACTGGACTACTTCGTATGGTATACGAGCGTGACTCGCGACGCAAGTTTCTGCCTTCGGACCACTGGCTCATGGTCTCCCGCTTTGACATGACGGGGTTCATTCCGGCTGTAGTTGAGGAGGAAGAGTCGCGGCACAAGATCCAAGAGGAAGACGCGGAAGATCTTGACGACTTGGAAGAAGAAGAATTTGACGATACACCACAACTCATCGGCACGAGTCGCACACAAACACAACGACGCTTGGAGAAACTACAACGGCAGCAGCGCAAGGCTTCGCGGAGACGGTACCTACAGGCTGTCGCGCCTCGTCTTGAGATCTTGCAGAATATGCCTTTCTTCATACCCTTCACCACACGCGTTCAGATCTTCCGCGAGTTTGTCAAACTAGATATGATCAAGCGACGAGGATCTGCAGATCCTGAGTTCTGGCGGTTCCGGACTATGCAGCAGCCAAACGCACGCAGCCAACTCGAGAAGCACACGGCTAGGATCAGAAGAGAGAACGAGTTCGATGATGCTTTTGAGCAGTTCTATGAACTAGGCCAGGGCTTGAAGGAACCAATTCAAATCACCTTCATGGATCAGTTTGGCGCCCCTGAAGCTGGTATTGATGGTGGTGGTGTTACGAAGGAGTTCCTCACCAGCGTCACCAGCCGAGCGTTCATGCCAACTGAATACATCGACATGTTTGTTGAGAACGACCAACATCTTCTGTATCCCAATCCCGCCGCAGTCGAAGAGCACAAAGAGGCTCTCCGGCAAGCCGGCATACGCGAGGGTTCACAAGAGTACCGTGCGCAGATCACTGAGCTGCTTCAACGCTACGAATTCCTAGGTCGCATCATCGGCAAATGTCTGTACGAAGGTATCCTAGTCGACGTCAACTTCGCACCCTTCTTCCTACGCAAATGGGCACTAACCGGCGGCACGGGCTCCGCGCCCAACGAATCCGGCTACCGCCCCACGCTCAACGACCTCCGCGATCTAGACGAAGAGCTATACCAAGGCCTGCACAAGCTCAAGACCTACCCTGGCGACGTTGAAGACTTCTCCCTCAATTTCACCGTCACCGACACCGTCATCGTCGACCACACGACCTCGCCCAAGAAAACAAAAGCCATAACCAAGGACCTCAAGCCCGACGGCTCAAACACCCCCGTCACCAACCAGAACCGGCTTGTGTATATTAGTTACATGGCGCGCCACCGGCTGCAAAACCAACCCTACGCCCAAACCACGGCTTTCCTCCGCGGCCTCGCCACCATGATCCAACCCTCCTGGCTCTCCATGTTCAACCAATCCGAACTCCAGACCCTCATCTCCGGTACGCGTACGTCCATTGACATCGAAGACCTGCGCCGCAACACCATCTACGGCGGTACGTATGTCATCGGCGACGACGGACTCGAGCACCCGACTATCCAGCTCCTGTGGAAGGTCATGAAGGAGATGAGCGATGATGAGCGCCGTGCGGTGCTGAAGTTTGTGACTAGCACGCCGCGCGCCCCGCTGCTGGGGTTTGGTACGCTGAATCCGAGGTTCAGTATTAGGGATGCGGGGAGGGATCAGGATAGGTTGCCTAGTACGAGTACGTGTGTTAACCTGCTGAAGTTGCCGATGTATGAGGATGAGAGGACGCTGAAGGAGAAGTTGCTGTATAGTGTTTTCTCCGGTGCTGGGTTTGATCTGAGTTAGGGTGTGGGATGGCGGATGGCTAAGGTTGTGGAAGTTGATAGATTTGCATAGCATGGTATTAGGAGAGCGATTATGGAATAGAATCGCATGATGCGTGTATATCATTCGACTACCGTTAGCAGATCCTGCGGCCGCGAAGCTAGAGTTCTCGTGTCGTGTCCAAGCTACTATACGAAATCAATGAACCGTTGCGACTGAAAACAAGCAACGAAAGGACCGCCGCGAACAACATGAACACAAGCCCAAGCCACTTCCGAGTTTTGCTATCGGTCTTCTTCCATTCCGTTGCGAGTATAGTCTGAGCCTTGTCATACTTCGTGTTGAACTCGTCTAGCTCTTGCTGGGTGCTATCGCTCTTTGCGCTTGGTGAATTTGCGGCCACCACTCTATAATGAAACACTCGGAGCAAGTCTCGGACCTCCGAAGCATTTATGTCAGGATGTAGTCGGAGCTCGCGATCATTAAGGAAAGCAAGGCACAAGTCCATTGTGTTGTTCGCGTTCTGAGACCAGTATGATGGTTCGATTTCACTATCCAGGCACAAAACGAACGTCTTCCAGCACCTCCGTAGATCCATGCGTATTACAGCTTCGGCATCCAAATCAAGGATTTGAAGAATTGCAGTGACCGCTTTTGTTCCTGATCCGTCTTTGCGCATAAAATCCGTTGTCAAGTAGTACCGTATGAGTGCACAGGTCAGCGTACTTCGTTGTTGGGGTGTGATGGATTCTTCCCACGAGGCTTTGTCGGCAACATAGAGATAACAGCCAAATTGCATGGCAAGACTCAAGAACGCAGGGTTCCGCTGGTTATCATGACGCTCGTATCTCCCTGTATTGGCATTGGTTTGTTGTTGTTCGGCGAATCGTTCGAATGTCATGTCTCTCGCTGCGGTCCATTCGTCGTCTAACGCTCGCTTTTTGAACTTTGTCGCCTTCGCCCAGTGAAGCCTCATAGTCTTTTCCATATCGTCCAGTAAAGCCGTATAGGGACGAAGGTTACGTTCTTCCAGGAAGCTGGCATACATGAGTCCTTGCCGCAAGTTCGCAAATGAACGGTCGGCGTCCGCTACAACCGCTCTTTCGGAAGGCAATGCCTTCATTTCGAGCAGGCATGCAGCGAGTAGAGTCAGATCGATGTTGAAGTTAGAGCCAGCCTGTGCCTTCAGTAGGGCCCATATCTCATCAGAGCGGCAGAAGTCGATTGCAGTTTTGTGGTGGAACTCGACCCATGCGTCCATCAAAGACGAGCCTCGTTCAGCGATATTGTCTTGGCGTGTGACTTCAAGCAAGCCTTTTGTATGGCCATTGATCCTTCTATCCATCCACGAGCATAGGGATCGTCGCTTGTTTGGCGGCATGATTCGCATTTCCTCGGTGATAGCCTTTTCAGCAGTAGTGTCCTCTTTGTCGGCTAGAGCTAGTTGAAGAAGGCTCATTGGCTCGGAACTTGGTACTTCTTTGCTCCTCAGCATTATGAGAATCATCCGAGCCGTACTCTTTTGCGTTGCCGGGTCTAGCGAGCTGAACATGCGCTTATACATTTCGTGGAGGTCCGGGGGGAGCGAGTCGAGTTTGCGTTGCAACGTAGATGCCGTCTCACCATTTTGTAGTCCTTCTAGAATCGAATTAAGCGATAACACTACCCAGAGAAAAACGCCGGCTGACATGTCGCATAGGCCACGAACCAAGGTTGAGCGGAGCTCTGGATCCAACTCTTCCATGTCCCTTAAACCCCGAGAGTGATCTAGCCTGTCAGAGACGAACTTCATCATGTCTTGATACGTCAGGTCTTGTAGCCGAAGCTGAGGCATGTTTTCGAAGGCGTCATTGAACGCTACTAAGGGTCGGCTCGACAGCACCAGCTTCACGTTGTCGTAGGAAGACAGTGTTTCGAAAACACGAATGAGTTCACCGTGATCTCCAGAGTACTCGTCCAGTCCATCAATGAAAAGGCAAATTCTGAGGCCTTTGGAGTTTCCGACCAGTAGATGAAGAGCTTCTATAAGCTCTGAGAGCGTCCAGGAGAGGCTCAACTCACGTCCTGCGACGATCTCTGTGCAGATTTCGGGAAAGACGGACGGTATGAGCCGTGGACATAGCGAAAGAAGCGTGTGCAGCAGGCCTCGTAACAGACCTTCGTGTGATGATTGCAGGGTATGTCCGGCCGCCCAAAAGAAGAACCTAGCCTGCAGCAACGTAGAACCACCTCTCCACGAGTCGAGAAGTTCAGTGGTTGTAGAGTTTGAGTAAATGTACTTCATCAAGGTAGACTTTCCGCTTCCGGCCTTTCCTGAGATCCAGTACAAACTGTTTCCGCTACGGAGCCACTCCGCGAAGTCGGACCAACGACGGTCTTTTTCGGGTGCTTTAAATATCCACTCGTATGTGTCACGATGAGCTATGGCTGTATCGCTGAATCTGCTTTGTAGGCCACGATAACTGAGCGCGGCTAAGACTTTGGTCGAAAGCGGCGAGAATCGCTCGTTGGAGACCGTTTCCACAGGCTCTGTGTTGGACTGATCTCTGAACGTGATCACACGCTCGATTGAGTTGCCAGGGGCCGAGTCTTCTTGGGCGGCAAGTGCGAAATGTTGGTCGGCGACTGAAAGCGTGGTGCCATCTTCAAGCCCCAGAATCACGCGGAGCACTTTCTCTCTCCTAGTACTTTCGCTCTTGTTTTCAGGATCCGCCCTAAGATCGCGAGGTGACGCCGATGGTTCTGAAGAACTTTGTGTGAACGTCAAGATCTGCACAATGCGATTGCTCGCCGTCTCGAGACTATCAAGGCGCTGAGTCACTTCTGACGAGTGTACATCCGTCTTCGCGTTGAGCAGGGCAAGGAGGCGTAACGAGAGGTCCTGTTGATAACCTTCAAGCCTTCTGACAAGCCCTTCGATTTCTCCTTTCTTCAGGATAGTCCGAAGCGCAATGTGGAAACTTTTCCATGTAGATTGTTTATTCGCTTTTGGGATGAGTTCCTCAAGATATTTGATGATTTCCGTCCCGACTTCAGAGCAACCTGCAATGATGCGGTCAAGCGCCTTCAACAATTAGCATCTTATCTGCGAATGCAGTTACACGAGCTGGATATAGAATGTACCTCATATTCATCTTTGAGCGAGTCTTTACGACCGCTGATTGGTGCACGCAAGCCATTGACCCAGGATTTGAGTTCCTGCGCTCTGTGCTCGATCTCTGAAACGCCGATGGTGGTGCCTTCCTGATGAACATCGTGGCCGAGGAGTACGACTTTGACAGTGAAGTCGATAAATGTCACAATAGACGTCGCGATGGAGACTGCGCTAATGGGATCCATCGGAATGATCAGAACTGATGACGGGCTGAGAGATCGGCGTATTCGCGCAAGGCCGGAGCCAGTCTTTATGTGAACATTACCGCGCGAAATCAAGAGTAAGCACTGGAATCGATGCCAACGCCATGCGGCCAGGCTGAGGTGTCAGGCCCCGGTGGAAGGTGCATTGTGTAGTGATTCCGACCTATCACACTACCGGCACAGAGCTGGCAGCTGAAGTGGCGGGGGCGAAGCTGCAGCTGAGGGCTGAGCAGCGCGCGCACTGCGTCGGCGTGAGTATGCCTACCGTACACCTGGTATCGAGTAAACCAATAATCATTCCTTGAGGAATTTCTGTGAATGCGTGATGATGAAAGTGGGCGATTTGGAGCTCAGAATCGTGGTCGAAGCGAGGGCGCAGCCTGCAGGCGCGACGCGGGACGTCGCCACTGCCCACATCTGACGAGCGACCCACGACTTCCGAAATCGATGTGTATCCATCCAATCAGGTCCTCTCGGGAAAAGAGGATATTCGCCAAAACAAGAGCTTGTTCTCACCTGTAATCGTGCTCGACTCCTCTGTGAAGCCCGATAAAACCCAATGCCATTAGGTACAATACTTTCAAACCAGCACGATAGACTGTTCACGCAATGTACTGTCCCGGACCGCTTCCCGTGCATATCCCCGAGACGCCACCAAAAGAGCGTCGATAGCAACTCTCGGGCTTTGTAACTAGATATGTAGGACTTTAGACTGCAGGTTTGGTTGCCCGATGGCTTTGACCACACCATCGTCTGACGATGTTGGTTGCTTTTGCACAGGATTAACAAATGTACAGTAGAGGTTGCGGAATCGAGTACGTTGTTATCCATAGCGATAGACATATTCTTTATGTTGCCCTTACAGCTGATGACATTGCTATCCAACTCAATCCCATCCATAACCCACCCCGCCACCGCTCTACTCATCATCCCCATCCCCATCCCCATCCATCCCCGGCGGCAACGGCGGAATACTAAAATCCTCCAAACTCGCCCACTGACTACTCCTCCACCCCCCAGCAGCATGCGTCGCTTGCGTCATCCCAAACATAGGACTACTCCACCCCTCACCCTCCGCAGCAACCTTCTCCGGACTGGGGAAGCTACTCGGTATAAACAACGGCGGCGGTTTCCCCGGCGAGATATTCGGCTGAGAACTAGCGATACGATGCGGTGTTGTGTGCGTGCTGGAAAAGTGCTGGGTCCGCTTACGTCTGGGTGTGCGCTGCGTGATCTTATCTACGGTTGTGGCTTGAGAGGGGTGGTAGCCTGATGGTTGGTGGGTTGAATGAGGTGCTGTGTTTTGGTTTTGGGGGAGGCGGGGCGTTTCGTTGTAGCTGAATGCGTCGGGGGCGGCGCGCATGCTTGAGGAGTCGGGGGCTCGGGCGTTTACGTATTGCGAGTAGGAGAACCATTCGTTGTGAAGTTGCTGTTCTGCTTTGCTGGAGTGGGACTGTTGGGTTTCGTGGTCGGGTGAGGGTGAACGAGGGACTTGGATGGATTCGCTGTTTAGATCTGCGGACTGGTGGATGTCTGTTGAGGTGGACTGCGGTACGTGTGCCTTGCTTGATCGTGGAGGAGTTGGGTCTGGCGGTGGGGCGTCTTCTTCTTCTTCCGATGAATCGTCGTTGATGACCATCGGTGTGGATGGGCAGGTTTCTTGAATGAGGTCCTCAATGACTGGAGGGGTGGAGCGGAGCTGCTCTTCTGGTAAAGGTAGTTCTCCTTCACTACTCGTGGTAGCCTCGCTCTTGACTGGCCTCTCTTCATTCGTCGGATTGGACGGGACTGTGGGCAATATCGTTGCGTCGTCGTCCTCGTCATCCTCGTAGTCGTCATCGTCATATCCGGGCTCCTGCTTAACAGCGACGGACTCGGCTACAGTAGAGGACGATCTGCCACTCGACTGCTTTTGCGGGTCGCCAAGTTCGGGAGAAGGTTCTTGGTCACCTCGGAGCTCAGGTAGATCGCCTGATTCTTGTGATGATGCCGAATCCTCCATAGCTTCTTCTTCGTTTGCATCGGCACATGCCTGATCGATCCTGTCAAGTACTGCCTGGGTATCAGCGCCAACGGTCTTCCCAGTCGCAGCTTCACGGCGCCCGGAAGAAGCTTGCGCATCCCCACCTCCGCGACGTCCAACAGCAGGCAGGTCTTCTTCTATGACACCATCATCCTCGTCTTCAGAGTCTTGTATCGTACTCTCAAACTTCCTCAGTGTTGGTGGTGGTATAGGCGTCTTTGAGGGCATCTTAAAAGCAACCTGCTTGCGTTTCGAAGGTGTCTCTGGTGCAAGAATTGGGTTGTCCGAACGCTGCTTGAGAGGGGATCGATGTAGCTTTTGTGGAGAGACTTGGGTCGATAGTGGTGAGTCGGCGGGTGACTGAGAGGAGGGAATCTCGCGAATACGGCGTTTCTCTGGAGTCGATAAAAGGCTGAAGCGGGCTTTTCGGGTCCTGGCCAGTCCTTGCGGCGCATAGAAAGCTTCTTCCGTGTCTGCGACTCTTGGTCTATTTCCTCGTCTCGTCGTGCGGGTCGTTCTTGTGACAGGCGCTTCGATAAATTGCGTCGGTTTGTAGCTGTCTTCGCAGTCGTCGTCCATCTCGTCTTCCACTGACTGCATCACTAACTCCGGGGTGTCTTGAGAATTCGGTGTGGGCTCTTTCTTTATGTGTTCGTCCTCTAGGCTCTGCTCCACATCGTTTCCAGCTTCATTTGCACCGTTGTCCGCTCTAACACGATTCCCCTCCACACGATAAAGCCCCTGTTGGGCAAGGCGCTGCGCAACAGCATCGCCGTAGGTCTGACTAGCCCTGTGTTCGGCCTCGAAATCGCTCAATATCTCGTCTAGATCCTCATCTGACATTATCTCCTGCGGCCGCATGCCTGGTATCATCTGCGTCAACGTGCGCTGCTTCCTGTCGCTCTTTGCTTCGCTTTTGCCACGCCCACCCCAACTCAGTCGCGAGCTCTGTTTTACGGGCTTGAAGCTGGGCTCTTCGTCGTCGGGCAAAGGCTTTCGTCCATCGACCAGTTGTGTCATTGTTGACTGCCGCCGTAATGTGCGCTCTCGGTTGGTCTTGGTGGCTGTCGCATTGCCGTCGTCATCGGATCCGGCTTCGACGCGCCTCGAGCGGCGAGGGTTCTTAAGCGTGGCTGCCGTCCGTCGGCGTTTAAATGTAGGCTGCACCGGTTCGTCCTCTGCATTATCTTCCTGCTGCACCCCATCGCTGTACCGGTTCTTCCCCTTCCTCTTCGTCGTCCTCACAGGCTGCCGTTCTTCTTCCTCGTCCACCTCGGCCTTGATCAGAACGCCTCCGTCTTCCAAATCCTCTTCCAAATCCGTGTCGCTGTCCTCATCCGAGTCAGCGACAACAGGAGTACCCTGCCTCCTCATCTTATCCGGCAGGAAGACCATTTGCCGCTTCCCATCGTGTACCGGAGTCGAGCGCCGGCGCACAGTCTTGCGCTTGTGTGGAAAGAGCACCTGCTGGGGCGCTTTCTTGGAATAGTAGACCTTGTAGTCGGCGTCTTGGTTGCTGGAACGCGTCTTGGGCGTCATGGTGGGTGGGTGGAGCAATCGATAAGTTGGGGCGTTGGAGCGTTGGTCGACGCGACGCGTTGAGGGGACTAGCGCGTCGGCGAAGACGACAGGGGTGTGCGTCATCACCACTTTCGCTCTTGCAGTCTCCGACTCATACGTTGATCGCCAACATCATACGTGAAGCATGCGAACTGTTAACTCGACTCATGCACAACCACAAGTCTCAGTGAACTCACAGACTCGCTACAACATTGCCATGCGCAATGAGCTCACAGCCATCGTACCTCATCATCGGGGCTGGAGTCTTCGGTGTCTCCACCGCCTACCACTTGATCAAAAAGTACCCCGAAGCACATATACAACTAATTGACCGAACACAATACCCCTGCCCTCTTGCCGCATCCTGGGACTGGAACAAAGTCATCCGTGCAGACTATGGCGACCTCTTCTACATGGAAAAGGCGTTGGAAGCCATACAGTACTGGCGACATGACCCCCTCTTCAGGCAATTCTACCACCAGAGCGGTTTGGTCAATATCGACAATACCGACCTGGGTGGAGAGATCTTGAAGAACTATGAGAAGCTTGGAGTTAAGGTTGATGCGGAGATGGCGAGCCCGGAGCGCTTCAAGAAGATGTACGATTCTTTCTACGATAACACCGATTTCTCTGAAGTTGGCGAAGTCTTCGTGAACAGAGACAGTGGGTGGGCTGAAGCTACCAAAGCCTTAACTGCTTACACCGACGCCGCGATCGAGGCAGGAGTCAAGTATACCGCAGCAAACATCGACGTGTTGACCTTCGGTGCTGATGGAGAATGTACTGGGGTTTTAACGAAAGGCGGTGAAAACATCACAGCAGATCGCATCATCTTGGCTACTGGTGCAGGCACAGCCAAACTCATCGCCGACAGTGCCCCGAGCAGAAAAGAGCTACAAGTCGACGGCCGTCTGGTAGCCGGAGCGGTCGTTACTGGTATCGTCAATCTCGACCCAAAGAATGGGCAGCAATACACCGAGATTCCGGTTACAGTACATTCGGTCCTACCAACACGAGGTCAGGCGACGAATATCCATCACCCAAATCGTGCTGACATATCCCAGGGGAGGTAATGCCACTAACAGCGCCCTTGTCAGATCAAGATCCATACACCGTCAAGTTCTGTCGAGACGAGGCCTACAAAAATACTGTCAAACACGAAGCTTCCGGCCAAGAATTCTCGTCTCCACCAAACGAGCCCGGCCAAGCGCAGAAGCAGCCGAACGAAGCTCTTAAGCAGCGGCTTGAACTCGTCAAGAACGGCATACTGGGTGAACCTGGGAAGAACGTCAAGTTTGACGAGTATCGTGTGTGCTGGTAAGTTGCGCGGCGCAACCACCATGACGGACCGGGCTAATAGTATCTAGGGATGCAGTGACACCAAGCCAAGACTTCTTCATCACGCCGCACCCGCATTCTCGAAATCTCTATCTTGCGACAGGCGGCTCTTTCCATGGATGGAAGTTCATGCCTACGATTGGTCGCTACGTCGTGGAGATGCTCGATGGTATTTTAGACCCCTCCCTCGCCAAACGATGGGCATGGGATGGTGAGAACGAAGGTGGCGCTCACGCTCACCTGCTCCCTACGATTGAGCTACGAGACCTGTGAGACGGGCAATGAGATGCTTGGGGACATGCTGCAATGAACGTGTATGTGTATTCTCATTTGGAGTATTAAACATTACGATCTATTCTATCTGAGATAACTAGTCTTTGCACGACGTTCCATGTGAATAGCACGGCGTGCTTTGCCACTCTCACTTCCTCCCCGTCTATTATGCAAATAACCCGCACCATGGTATCTTCAATCCCTGAAACGCCAACCCCAAACAGCAAAATACCGAGCCCTTGTCCTTGCCCCAAGCCCAAATGTCGAACCAACGCAGTCTCTAATCCCACTCCAACGCACCAGCCCAATGACCCCTTCCAACCAACCCATCACCTCACCCAAACCACATCAAATTACCAACCCCCACCCTACCCCCCTCCTACCTCTTCTTCCCCCCACTCCGACTCCTCGTCCTCTCCGTACTAACCGCAACGCTCAGCCCATTCGTACTCGGCCTCTCACTCTCCGACCTTGCCTCAAGCCCCTCACACCAAGCCCTCTCCTGCGCCTTCGTCGCCTGAACCTTACTCAGCGTCTTCTTCAGCGCGCCATACAAATGCTGATTATCGCTCGAATCCAAATCAACCCAGAAGCTATAAATGCTCAAACACTGATGATTCATATTCTTGAACCTGCGTAGAATATATTGCCGCGCACTGAGTTCCGGATCCGATTCATTGCGTGTGTAATCCGGAAACAGTTTTTCCAGCGGTGCGTAGGCCATTTTACTAACAAAACGCGTGAAGTTGTTGAGGATGAGGATGATGGTTGAGTTTGCGAAGCCGGGGCGGTTGACCCATTGTTCGAAGCCTTCGAATTCGTGGACGAGGATGGATTCCGAGGGGCGCTCTGGGCTGGGTTTGTTGTAGAGGGAGACGTCGACGGTGAAGATGACGGCGGTTGCGTCTTCGAGTTGGTGGTACCAGCGCTCTTTGAAGTGTTGCGGGACGTAGCCTTTGATGTTGAAGAGGTGGATGTCGAGCTCGTCCCAGTCGAAGCGTGTCTCGTTGATGCCGCCGCCGGAGCGGGTTAGTCGGATGATGTCGGCTTCGCTGGGGACGTAGTCTTTTTCGGCTATGCGCGGGGCTTCTTGTGCGAAGTACGGCGCGTACTGTGGAAAGTCGATTTCGAAGTTGCGGACGTAGAGTTTGGAGAACTCGGGACACGACCAGATTCGGGTGATGGCCTTGACGGCGTCTGACGATATGCCGTCCTCTCTGGCGTCCAGCTCGTGCAATAAGATCGCGAAGTCGTGGGTCAGTTCGGCAGAGAGTGTAACGCCGGTCTCTGTGAGTAAATTCGTGATGGACGATATGAGCGATCTTACAACTTGGTAAACTGCGGGGCGGTACTTCAATCGTTCTTCCGTCTTATCATAACCTTCGGCGAACTGCACTTTCAGCTGATGCATTATCAGCTCTTTGCCACCCTGTGGATTGCCTACAAGGACCAGCTTAGTTTCGTGCCGAAGGTTAGTTGCTTCCCTCTCCAAAGCACGGTCTATTGCTTCGGACCGGTTGATTGCTGCCATATGCTCGTACTCTTCGTCCGATGGTGTGATTGTTCCATCGAAATCGTTCCGCGCAATCTTCATGTGGAACAATAGTCTCAGCCATTGGATGAATCGCGATAATTGCGCAAGGCTTGTGATGCAAGCGCCGTTTAGTTTCGAGGATTGTGTAAGGGTCCTCAGATTTGCCGCATCTTCCTTTCTGATCTGGCGGTTCTTATGAAGCAGGATCTTTCGCTGCGCTTGGGCGGTACTGGCAGTCATTAACATTGATTGTAAGTAAGGTTGACTAGCAACTTACCATTGACATGCCGCAAGTAACAAGTTCACGGCGTCATTCTGTCGTTGCGCAACCTGTTGCAATCGTTCCATAGATCTACTAGCGACGCTGTATTTTAGTTTGGAAGCGACATCGACAGCACCATGGTCCCGGTAGTCCAGACGCGCATTCAGGGCATCTACATGGCGTACCAGCAGCCCACAAGAATGCGCTAGCACGTCCAAGTCGGACACCAGCTGTGGATGGAGGTCGCTAATAGCATAATTGAGCCAGTCCAGGATGTTACCGAGACTAGACTTCAAGGCCGTTAGTTGCGCGATGAGGTTGATGGAAGAGCCATTGCTATCTCTCCAACGGTTGTGGATCTGTCGCAAGCCGTCAATGTCCTGTCGCAGCTGGTCGCGAATGGTGCCGATGGCGCTAATTAAGGCGAACACCCTTTTCTCATCGTCCGCCATGGCGCAGTAGCGTAGCGTCGCGTCGCGTTGCAGCAAAACAAATGTCGTGGATCGATTGGGCGGCGCCGGATTGCTGAACAAGTGTCTGACTGTCAGGAATCGTTACGACTGACGGCAACGCTCGCGAGACCCCGCGCATTTAGTCAGAAACAGCCAGGATTAAGGTTGGCACTTGCGGATGATTGTCACAAGACAGAACACAACAAGGAAGTCATCAGCGCCGGATCCGCGGAGTTGGATGGACGGCCTGGTTATAGGGATAGCCCCAGGACCCGAGAAGATACCGCGAGCTTGGGGCGCGATGGGGCTGTCTGGCGAGAGTTGCACCGCGATCAACAGGGCGTGCTGACAGTGCGGGATTCCAACAACAACGGCTCGGCCTCGTCGCGAGAACGAGCCATCAGTCGCAGCCGTGATCTCAACGGTGCGATAGCGCGTTTTGATGCCAGGGGAATCGCGGCCAGCGGGTAGTGTGGCGGTCCCTGATGAAGGATGCCGGCTAATTTGGGGCGCGGATGCCGAGCGGCGCAGTTCAACGTCAGGTACAAAAACGATATTGTCTCCTGACTGCACAACCGCTTTGGGTTGAGCTGATATCGTCCGAATTAGGCGTGCAGTATACGAAGAAGAGTCACAAAGTGGCCTTGTTGTCGCCATGATCGATGACTCCCCAGACCTTTCGGCTCGTATGTGGCTAGTGCAAACGCCACCAAGCGAGAACTCTGTCGTCATCGTCCGATGAGACACCTAGGCATTCACTTTTCCGCCCAACAAACATGAGCCCTATAAACGCCACCGTTCCGAACGTGCAATTGTTTTACTAAACTGACACTTTGAATATCAGCATTACATTATCAGTCGTCTAAGCCTTGAGCAAAAGCTAAGGGTTGCGACTGCAGCATGGCGACTATCGACACGCTGCCAAATGAGATCCTCTCGTTGATAACGACTCATCTTGAACGACCGCGAGATCTACTTTACCTCTCTCTGGCGAGCCGCCGATTGAGTGAGTTCGCAAAGCTCGATGGATGGAAAGCTTTGCTTAGAGGCCGCTTTGGCCTAGGTGGACTGGATGCGGACGCCCACAATGCAGTCCACGGCGTGACAACGTTATGCCGGAACTGGGACCGAAGAGGCCTGATCGCGAGATATCTTGAGCCAACGGGAAAGACTATGAGCATGAACACCTGGCAAGCCGAAAGATGGAGGGGTCCGCAGGGTCAAACAATGGGTTATCAACCTAGCATTGACAGCTACGAAGAAACATATGGATCGTGGGGAGAGAGAAGGGAGGTACTGGCGTGGTCCGCTGGTACCCAAATCATTCTCAGGACGAAAGAGGCGGGCGCAAACATCGAGAAGATCAGAAAACGCGAGGAGCGAAAGGATGAGGCGCCCGATCAAACATGGAAGTACGACACTTTCAAACATCTGAATACGTGGTTCACGTACAAGATACCGGACAGCTCGGAAGGTCGCGATGATATCACCAGGGTGAAACTGCTCCGACCACACCAGCGGGATTTGGCCTATGAAGACATCGTCTTTGGGACTGCATCAGGTCAACTGTCGCTACTCAGTGTTAGTCCTGACCTTGCCGAGACGCGGATTCAACATTACAAAACTGGCTCTGATCCCATAGCCGACCTTTCGGTATCATCTTCGAACACACCCATGCTAGCTAGCGCACTAGGAGATGGATCGCTGGCGCTTTATCCTATCCGCCGCGACACCATCTCGGACGAGGCGATCGCCTTCTCTTCAGAAACAAAGTCCATATCGCCAAATGGCAGATTACGGTCATGCGAGTTCCTCTCCGACGACAAATTGGCTGTTGGATCGGGACCCCACGCTGAGCCAATCGAGGTATACCACATTGGACCTGAAGGCTTTTCGTCCGGACCCCTTCGTCGCTTCAACGTTACTAGCGAGAGCGCAACACGCTCACACCTGACATCCATCTACACTATCCTGCCATTACCGAGCACAGCCCACGGTGGCTCAGAAGCAGGCCATACTTTCCTGTCTGGCGGCTATGACGGAATCGTTAGACTGCACGACATGCGTTCACCACGCGGCTTCGAACAGATCTTCTGGGATCCAACCAATGATTCGCCAGTATATGCTCTTGCCGCACATGGGCGAGAACGCTTCGTAGCAGGCGTAGCTCTTCACTCTATGATCAAGGTGTTTGACTTGCGATTATCAGGCTCGCATGCATATCACACCATTTCCTCCCCTAGCCACAAACCGAAACGCAAAGCGGTGTCGCGCGACTCGGCCATCAACGTTATCGTGGATGATAACAAAAGCAAAAGTCTAATTAGGAGTGGCGGCTGGAACCTCTACCTCAAGCCCCGCGACTATTTGTCACGGGCGACGCAAAACTCCCCCGTATACAGTCTTTCCATCCCGTCATCAACGTCACAGAACCTGTACGCCGGTCTTGAAGGGGCCGTTCAAAATCTCACCTTCCACGGCGTCGCTGATACTTACCCGGATCCTATGCTGTCGTACGGCTTGGTCCAAGACTGCTATTACTACCACAAAAAGAGCAACAAAGTTGATGTTCGAGCATCTTATGACAACGACGGAGGGGTTCTGAACCTGGGCATGTACGAACAAGGTACCGAAGACGTGCTGGGGATGCAGCTGTTGATCCAAGGTAGTATGGACTCTAGCGTGGTAAGCAAGGAACGGGCAGATAAGGCGATGGCTAAAGGGCTGGATGAGCGCTGGATCGACTTGAGGGCTGAGCAGGATAGGTGGTCTGCGGGTGAGGAGCCACCGCCACAGGAGGAGCCACCGAATGAGTCGAGAACGGGTGGAAGAAGACGCAGACGAGGTAATAGAGGGGGAGGAAGAGTGGCTTAGAATCTCGTTGCTGTGTAGTTTTCTTGTCTGCTGCTGCAGGTTGCAGCTATCGGACGAATTCGCTGCCAGTTGTCTAGCTAGACTAGTGTAACCGTGCTTGCTACCGCGTGTTCGTCAAACCAACGCTTCTCTAACCGAGAAACTAGTCCAATCCTAACGTACTCCCTCTTCCCATTATTTGTGGGCTGCAGTAAAAGTGCGTCAACATTATCGTATTGTTGATTCCCCACGTATAAACCGAAACAGACCACCGACTTCCATGCGATCTTATCTTGCAACCCCTCATAGGTTAAACCGCTATCAACGGGCGGACATGGTTCAGAAGTGTCGAAGCTGAATCCCGAATCGAGGAACACGAAAATCTTTCTATGATTGCCGTCAACTAAATACGTCGCTAAGCGCATGACGATGTGATCTCCAGGTACCACCCAGCCGCTGAGGCAAAGGGATGCATGTAGAACTGGTCCGTAAGGATTGGACGTGGCTGGCTGGGTTTGGAAACTTTTCAAAGTACATATGTACCGTTCATTCTCAGCCGGGTCGTCAAAATCTATGCCGTGCACGTGTGAGCTCCATGAGAATGTAGGGCCCAGGATATCAACATCCTCGGGGTATTTCCAACGTCTTGTAGCGGGACCTGTGTTAACATACCACCCTAGTTGACACACGATGCGGTGTTCCCAGAGTCCTGCGATGTACTCCCCAGGCTTCAAGTGTTCCATGCATGCTGCCACTCCGGAAAGCGCGGGGAGAGAATCTTGTCCATAGGTAAGTTCCATCTTGCTGTATTCATGCGCTATGTCCATCCATTCCGACGCGAAACTTTCTGTCATCTCTGGGGCAGCTCGCAGGTTTGCAAACATCCAGTATCCTTTGCCAACGCGCCGCACCATCATTTCCTTACTGGCCGCGCCACACTCGCATTCTCGCCCATGCTCGCACTCAAAAAGAATCTCATTTGGCAGGAAATGAATAATTCGACGAGCCAGAAATCTCTCTTGCATGCACCAACCCCGTTGGAATAACGTGTAATCGTTCTTGTTTGTAAAGCGAAGACAGTCGTGGCTTTCAATGAGTCTTGCACTCACTTCACGGCCCTGCTGGCCATTTCGTGCGTATTCCATGACTAGGGGCTCCAATCTTTCGTGCAAAAACCCATCCTTGGAGTCCTCAGTCGCTGTGGCTGACAAGACGACATACGCGTTTGCGTAGATATCTGCCATAAGGGATGCCTCTTTCGCCCATTCTTCATCATCGTCTTGCACAATGCAAATCCGATCAATCCATATGTATTCCAGACCGAGTCCTCTAGCAACCTGAATGGCGTCTTGGAGAGTCTTTGGGAACTCTGAAGTCATCAGCTTCTTGAACCGTGCTTCAACGTTTTCCTTCGTCGTCTCGGACTGCTTGCCTGGTCCCCAACGGTAGGAAAGCGCAGCAAATTTGACTGAGGATTCTGGCGAGCAGAGTCTATAAGATTTCCCGTCATGGCCACAAATGTCAATCAAGCGTGTAGGCCTAGACTCGTGTTTGGGTGAAACATGCTGATGGGTTTTGTCGCAACGATTTATCCACTCCTTTATGACACTCATCGAGGCTATCGAGTCCGCAGACTCGGAAACATCTTTCGCGCATCTGAAAGGGCTCACAAGAGCCTCTGACTCTGTCGCTTGTATCAGCCAGCCCTTCGAATTAAAATCAAGGACGAACCTTTCGAGTACAACTGAACATGAACTCTCTCGCAACCAGCCGTTGAGTGCCCACTGCTGTAGCATATCTGGATATCGGTCTTAAGCCCATGGGAACTCAATTCCATCGAATTCGCATCTTTTGCAAAATGCTGCTGACACTTGCGTAGGATTCCGCAAAAGATGCAGTTTACGTTCAGGTTCTTCACAAGAATAAAGTGTAAGCAGTATTCATCACTGTTTTGGTGGCATACGCCACAACTCAATTCGTATAAAGTATACACTTTGTCGGGCACCAGAGCAAGCTCGTTCGATTTTGCGATGATCTTCTTTTCACTTTTGTCTGGATAAAGTCTTCTGGCGAGGGACCTGACCAAGATTAGTACGCGTTATCAAAGCGTTTCAATCACCTTACAATAACTCTGAACGACTTCGTGGAGACACCTCCATGTCTGACCGTTCCAGAGGTACCACCCCCCAGGCTGAAGAGTCGTCGCTGGAAGACATCTCCGCATCTGAAAGCTCGTCGCGGGAAGACATCGCTGCATTTGAAAGCTGGTCTATGGAAGACATCGCCGCATGGAAAAGCCTGGGTAAGCTATAGTTCCATAGTAGATGTCATGCGTATATGGGAATATTGCCTCAACAGCAGCAGCAGTGCTTCAGTTACTACGCGAAGTTAACACGCACACAGCGAGAGCTAGCTCCCGGGGCCTAGTTGATAGGTCGTCTCCGGAAGACTGGAATACCTGAGATAATGGCGACAACGCTCAGCACCGCTCCTCTGAACTGCCTTGGAATGGAGTGTCGTGCGTCAGTATTGGTGAGCTTGTGCGTAGGCAGAGGAAGGAAGGCTGAACGGGTTCAGCTGATGACGCCCGCGGGCAGGTTGCACAGCCCATCCAAGCTTAGCCGAAAGCGGACTAGGTAGGTACTCCCCACCGACGAGCAGGGCAGAACAGCAAGTGCACATAGACAGTACTCAACTTTTGGCCATTTACACTCGCAGTTGTAACATTTACGCATGGGAGTATCTCCTCTCTCTACTCCAGTTCAATAGGTACTCAAGTACCGATCAAAAGCGTGACCGGTCAGCTGACGTCACGCCTGTCCGCCCCAAACACATACCCTACTCCGTACTTTGCCAAACTTTTCGTTGGTCTCTCAGCCGCAGCATTGCGCGCCTCTAAATCAAAATCCTCTTCCCAATTCAACCCCAGTTCCCCTTCCAACGAAGGCCGTCCACATCGTCGTCACCTCCCAAGGTTCATTCCAACCCGCCCCAACAGTTTTCAGTACAGTCAAGATACCCCTCCATCTCATCCATCTCATCCATCTCACCAACATAGCAGCAAGTAACGCAAGACCGCGTGGCCATGTGTCTCAGATATCGTGATGTGGTGCTACCAGCGTGGCAGTAGTCTTGGCGTAAGCTGTTTTCGCGGCTTCCGCGCGTGAACAATAGCCCGATGGAGTAAGATACTTCGCTTGAAGCGAACTGTGGAGACAGCTGAAGGTTCATTGTATCGTGTTGGTTATTCTCTGTGCGTGGTAGTTTGCCGGTCCGGTGATGACGCGCGTTGTCTCTCATCGGAGTAGAGGCCTCGCGTTGACTGCGCTGGAGGAAAACGTTCAAGCATGGTTTCGCCTGCAATGAGCGTACTAAGCGAGCTATCGCGGATTAAAATTGATGCGTTGTAAACGTTCAGATGTAGACCAGCCTTTCGTAGCTCGAAGGATCGCATCCAAGCGCGTACTGCTAGGTGTTGGTCACGTCAGCTTACTTGCTGTCTCCACCCAAGCCATACGGCCAAAAACGGGGAAAGAGGATCTCGAACCTCAATCTGGAGCAGTCCGCCGGCCCTGGTGATACGGCGAGTACGAGTACGAGGTAGGCAGACTCACGTTGGGGTTGCCAGACGCCTGGCTGTGTGATGCATAGTCTGCGCCATAGCCGTAGACGTCGGTGTTCGGTAGGAAGTCGCGTTGATGATGTGACGGTGATGACGTATGCGGGTGCTGAAACGATGGCTGTGATGGATGGGTGTGGTATCGGTACATAGACGGGCGAGTGGTCGCGGCGGCCTGTGTAGAGTAGTCTAGACTCGACATCCACGCTGGCGGCATGTTCCAAGGTATGCTCGCTGGTGGGGACGGAGAGTAGATGTGCATATTCCAATGAGGCGGGTAAGAAGGATACGCTTGGTCGACTGCGAGGTGATGGGAATCAAGGGATGCGACGGTAGCTGTTAGTATGGCTTCGTTTGCAACTGTGCTGCTTGCGCCGAAAACACGGTTTGACGACATCTGGTAGGGCGACGAACTCGGGCCCGCGATATCGTAGTCTGCGGATAGAGAGCGCGGGTACACTTCGTGCTGCTCAGGCGATGGTTCTGACTCCTGACGGCCCTCTGAGTCGTCCCTGATCAACTGCTGGAGGTATTGGAGCTTTCGTTTGCGCTTCTCTCCTATGTCGAATGTTATTAGTTGTGATCACAACGAGCGACGACTTGACGTACGATAATTCCGTGAAGCAATCCTGTTCTGTTGCTTTCGTATCTCGCTGTTGGGCTTCTTAGGCTTCTTCCCAGGCTCTTCGCTCACTACCGCTCGCTTTGGTCGCGCATCAGGTGTGGAAAGAAGTTGTGACGATGAAGTGGTAGGAGGAGAGTTCATGGCGCCAGCTAGTGTATTCGGTAACCAGAACGATGGGATCAATATCGCCCGAAAGCGTTGGCGAAGGCTTGCTTTTGAGCCGCTGATCAGTTCCTAATTGCAAGACGGCAGGGTTACATCCAAGCCGTAAAGAGAGCTTAGCCTAGACCCTACATCGACGTTGACTAGGTAGAGCCAGGCGACGGCTTCCGCTGCCGTGCTTTTCCTGGGCACTGCTGATTAAACAAAACAAGAATAGCAACAGCCCCAATAGGCGGCGGAGGCAAGTAACGCACTTCACCACTATGCTGCCGTCAACCATGGTCTTGACTTCGCCGCACGGCATTAGGATACGGTCATCCGAGATGCCAAATCCAAAGGGTATTCATTTCGAGGACTTAGTCATAGCTGCCGGTAATGCTGTGCGACAGTTGCGGATTGAGAGCCGCTTGCTCACTGAACCCCAAGATTACTTGTTTCCGCATTGGGCATACTGGACGAACAGTGTAGCGATAAGAGTTTGTGCTTGACAAGAGCTGAACCATCTCGGGACCGTGATCCGATCTGACGTATGTATGGTGGATGCTAAGATGCACGAGAGCAGGCGGAGTAGGCGGAGTAGGCGGTAGAGGCATCTATCTCGTCCCCACCGCCTGC